TTGTTGTTTGTGTGTTACAAAAAAAAAATGAGAGAAAAGGAGATGTCACATATGGAACACCGTAGTTACAGTCGACTCGTGACCTGCGTGTCATAATAAAACAACATGTTGATTCCCGTAAACTCGTCTCCGTAGTCAGTACTTAGCAGTCAGTGCTTTCCAATACCTATTGGTTGTTGGGAATTTCGGGGAAAAATACATCGAAATCAGCATTTTTTTGTTTCTCATCACGAAAAAAAGTGGGGGTGATTCAATACCCCTCCCCATCAAAAACTGGGGAGACATATACCCCCATTCCCCAAGATTTACCCCCTCTTCTCGTATCATTATCAATGCAGTTCCACAACCCTCCATTGAACTGATAGATCTCTCTTCCGGGGCTCTAGTCCACAACGTGAGTGAACCAATCTACGTCCAGTCAGACGCCCAGCGAACCTTTGAGTGCAGAGCGGATGTTCTGCCCAGCGCACCTTTGACGATCGTGTGGGAATTTGAGGAAACGGAGCGCAAGTACCCGGTGGTTGAGCATAAGTGTGAACAACAGGGACTGTTCACCATCAGCAGCAGATTCACCGTGTACAACTCGCCAAACAGGGGTCTGACGAAGAATCTTACCTGCAAGGTCCAAGTTCATGGCGACGTCAACATTACAGCCACGGTTCAGCTTGAGTTCTGCTCTGGTAAGACCTTAAGAAAATATAACATTTCAAAACTGATATCTTATATTTCTAGATTCTACGGAACACGAGCTTCTTACTGTCATGTGACATTTAGGGGTAGGGTCTAATGACTTCATTAGTGACAGAAATTAAAGGAAACTAAGTTGGAGTTGTGGAAGTAAATTTCGAGAAGGCATTGAAAACAAATCCCGCTGTCGCATTTCAGTGAATGAAAAGGCAACAGTTAAATAGGACGAACAAATGTTTGAAACAAGTTTGATGAAACAAAATTATATAGGAAATATAAAACAGGACTTACAGATCGAGGTTACCTGAAAATCCCCCACACAAGTGTGGGTTGATTACTAGTGAGTGCTAACCCATAGGGAATTGCGATAGCTTATGCACTAATAAGGGAATAAATGTGTGCTCTGGAGGTTTTTATCACTCGTTTAATACCCCTTAGAGTCTGGGTGCTGATAATTACCCGAGCCGGAGGCGAGGGTAATTATCAGCACCCAGACTCTAAGCGGTATTAAACAGAGTGATAAAAACCGACCGAGCACATATTTATTCCCATTCATAAATACCTTATCCGTAAAAAAATATCAAATAATTCGTTCCAAAAATCCCGATTTTGTTCAACAAGTTCACTTCATGCTTTTTGAAACATCCCTCTAGCAAAATAATGGAGTGTTCAGCTGGCGAGTACGATGTAAACAACCCCTTTATGGAGATTGACGCGCGCGTAACATGTTCTGCGCGATGTCACGCAGACGCACCTGGGGCGTTGCGTTTTGAATTTAGAACTATAAAATTCTGACTCGCTTGTAGTGTTGCGCATGCCTACGTGAGGATTGTGAACGTTCAACCAATGAAACGGTAAGAGGCACTGGATTTTTAGGAGTCCACATTTTATTGTGACACTGGAAAAGTGTTTAAGACCAGCTAGCCATGTCTTTATCATCCGTTTAAGACCGGCCACGTGACGGGCTCTCGACCAATAGGAATAGCTAAACTGTCTGAGGTATTTATGAATGCAATATAATGTATTATTATTTATATCAGGCTTCCAGCTGTAAAAATAAATCAGCATATTGTATGCTTTCCTAAAAAGTTGACTGCAATAACATTGTTATTACAGTCAATCCGGGCATTTTCGCAGGTTCCCGCTTGATCAAGGGCATAGAAAGTCACAGTTGTCAACCACTAAACAGAGCGTAGCGCGCGCGTACCGTCGAACACGGAACCTATGCACGGAACACGCCGCGCGTATGCAGCGCGCAGAAGGCCAGGTATACGCGCACTGTTGTTAACAATTACAGTGGCAGCTTCAAGACGTTTGATGTAAAGATGTAATGGACAGTGTCTTGAATTGTGCTTCTTGCAGATCAAGTCAGCCTGATATAAATAATAATAATAATATTGGATGGCTTGTTTTCGGTGGATACAAGAATATATTGCACTCGCTATGACAATATTGCACTCGTCTTCGACTCGTGCAATATTGTCATAGCTCGTGCAATATATTTTTGTATCCACCTCAAAGCCATCCAATATTATATGAAAATTCCCAAAGACGAAGGAACCGTCCAGGATTCAAACATTTACGGCCGCAATCGCCAAGCTGTAGTTTTTAATAGTGCGAACGGTAATAAGGCCGGAATGGAAAGGTGGAGGAGAATCTTGCCGATTCTGTCAAAGGTGTGTCCATTGAATGTCGTCGACACCACTTATAGAAGTGCCTGTCGTAGACAGTACAGGTTTATTGATCATTGACTGCTTTGGGCTGAGGGCGGCAACATCCTAAGGAAAAAAATAGCATGGCGGAAGGAACATTGGACAACGGCGAACACGTCAAACAATCACTTCTCTGATTACGATTGAGAACACCTGATCGAGGCTAGTAAAGATCAGGGCGGTGTGGACTGTGTGGGGCTCAGCGGGCGTGATAACGGGCGGAAATGCCGTGTGTGCAAACCAGTGATCAGGCCCGGATTAAGAGTTTCGTAGCCTCGTAGGCCTTAGGCACGGGTGCACCGGTTGACCGTGAACGAGAGTGGGTCAGGCCATCAGGTGAAGGAGCAGGCGATGGACGGACGCATGTACATGTGGCACAGCCTAATGTTAGGGCTGGCTCTGACGGTTGATTGAAAAAAACCGGATGGGCTCTTCCAGGGGCGATAGAGGATGTATGCATGACGTTCTTTGAAAACAAGATTGATTTTACATCCGGGTCTGGAACTAGCTGACAAACATGTCTTCCCGTTTGTAAAAAATAAATATATATATCAATGCGCTAGTGAGTTACGTCAGAAGGGAGCTAAACCTCTGATCCAGTGGACAGGTCACCGCCCAAAGTATCTGGAGCGGGCACTGACGCCGGTGGGAGGGAACACGGACCTGAGTCAGAGAGAGAGGTCTTTTGAGAGGAGGCTGAGACAAAGCATCAGACATAAGTCTGAAGAAGCGTCTTGTCGTGGCTAGTGGACTTTGACTTGTGGCGTTTGCTGCTAATAAATGACCTATCATAAGATTGGTCTGAAATCTGGTGTTTCTTTTTCTCCTTAAGGCCAGCACCAAGCTATGTAGCGGAGGTGGGGAAGGTAAGACAACCGCTCGGGAAAACCATGGGATGGGAGAGCAGAACTGAATTGCAGCCCGAGCAGGCAGGGCCAGTGGTCCCTGGCCCATTCCCCAAGCCGGTGCCACAGCCGAAGCTGAAAAGTGGGTGGTGACAAGCGGTCACGGCCGAGAGTTCGCTTGGCTTTTTCTTTAGGCATTACATTACCAGGGCGAACATTTGACGGACATGTGCTCCCGGGATAAGGTGTCGCCGGTAAATGTTCTGTGGTTGGCCGAAAGACGTCGCCGGTGATTTCTTCTTTGGACTTAGAGTACAAGAATGACCCAGGATAGACGTCGGAAAAGAGCGAAAGTGGATCAGCTCTGGAAAAAAAACACATCTTGAACGTAGCACGCGCTAAGAGAAAAGACGAAGTGTCATGGCGGGCGGAATGGAGGAAATAAAGCTAAGCAAATGGCTAGCGCCCTCAGGGGGGGGATAATTCATTGTGGTAATACTTCGCTGGTCAGAAGAACGCAGGAAAGACAAAAGAAAACCATCCCTTCAAAGTTGATTTTTCAAGGTTTGGTTGTGCTCCACTGTACTGCAAATTGGCACTTTTCCATTGTCCGATCATCTTAAGGGGCACATTAATATTCTGATCAGCTTACGTAAAACGTTTCCGTTATGAAGAAATATCAATGAACGTTTATTATTTTTATCTTGCTGCAGATTTCCTAAAGAACTTCTTCATCTTTCTGCTGACTCTAAATGTTATCATTCTAGTTGGCATCATCATTGTGGTGATCATCTTCTGCAAATGCATGGTCTTCCGACCTAAACAGGAGTAGCATCAAGCCACACAATTCACTCCCCCATGATGAGATGGGAGGTATGTCTAAGATTGAGGAGTGCGCCCTCTGTGGTTATTCTGTTCGGTTGAGGACTGAAATACATAAAATACATAAAAAAAGTTACCTGAAAACCAAGGGGAAAGTATTATAAACATTAAAATTGGTAAAGTTATTTACACAAATGATACAACTATTATATTCCAGACTGTACAACCCACCGAAGAGAAAAAATACAGTTGGTACCAAAAATACGGAGTTTAAAGAGAATGCTTGTCCACTTATCTCGGCTCATTCAGTAGCTGCGTAAGAGGAGAAATCCTCAGTTTTGATATAGTTATAACTCTCCTGTTAATTTAGCACTCGTATCATATTAATTCCATGTTCCACAACAAGATTGTGCTCAATTGTTGATTTCAATTGAATTTTTGCACCATTTTTGCAATATAACTCCAATCTCCACAAGAATGCTACACTGAATGACAATGCACGTGAAATGAAATCTTTTGAGATGGAATGAACAATTATAACGATTATAAATCCAAAAACTTAATAGAAATATAAAAGTTAGCAAGGACAACTTCACCCAAGTCCTGTGTTAGATTCGACCCGAAATCTATGTCAGATTTGACCTGACACTGTACTAGGTCTGATTAAATTGATGGAGTCAACATGACACTTTTTCACATAAAGAAGTGTTAATTTGACCTAGTAAAGTGTCGGGTCAAATCAGACCAGTGTCTTTTGAGTGTGTAAATAATACTGTAATCTGTAAATTTAAGTACTGTTAACGAAGTAACCAAGACGTGGAACGTACCGTAATTTCCTCCAACTCCATGGGTCACACACCTTTATGTCAAAGCATGGGAGGAAGGCGCACTCAACTTTACACTGGGAAAACAAGTGACACTTTTACTGGTTATCATCAGGTAACTGTGCGGGCCACACGTTTCCTATCAGGACTGGTTTATTTTCTAATTCAAGAATCAACAACATGAAGGTTGCAAATTTTCAGAACATTTTCAAGACTTTTCCCGCAAACTTAAGAAAAGAAATAATTATTAACCCCAAAAACAAAATGCACTAACAACGACTTGTATATAAATTATATAAACTTTAGCCTAAACTTTAACGTTACTCTCAACGAAATTAAAGATGTGTCAGAACTCAGTGCGAGTTGCAAACCGAACAAAGGGAAAATAATTAAGAAATTGAACAGAAACCCCACCCACGTTTAGCTACAGAATAGGACAAATTACTTAACACATTTTAAATATTTTGCAACCCGATAATTATACCGGCGATCATTTGGTGCACAAAAGGCGCAAAATACAATCCCATTATAAAAAGCCCTTTTCGGAACGCTGCAGAGCATTCAATATTGAGATCAAGTATTATATTCGTTTGAAAAAGAAGTAATAATTCTTTAATAACAATCAGTTTGTATGTAACCTTATTGTATCTTGTTGTACTTTATGTCTTGTTAAATGAAGGCTCGAAAAATAAAGGAAAAGGGCAACATTTTGTTGAACACTTGCTTATCCAGACCGACGTTTGACTACTGGGTTCACTTCGTCGTTCAAGGCCACAAGATTAATGGATTTATATATTTCTACTAAAAACAAATTCAAAAAAATGAATTTCTTAAAGATTACAAATCAAAACTCTCAAAATTGATTATTTCCGTGACAATGGAATACAATGCCGATTATCATGTAAAATGAAATATTATCTTATGAGATCATCTCAAAGGTTCTCTACAGATCCACATAAAAATAAGGAACATGGATAATTGTGGAATCTTCTGCTCCAAACAAAAGGTTAGCCTCAGATTTGTTCCCTTCCTATCCAAGACTGACTGACTGATTGACTCACTGACTGTTTAACTTGTGTGAGTTGGGAAGTACCATCGTAAATGTCGGCCCACTCTCTAGACCAGAAGTATATAAAGACCAATTGAATAATAACTATAGCTGCTCTGAATGAATTTGAATACTAGGTTTACTAGGGCTGCCTTGTTTTGTTATTCAAAAGTGGTCATGGGCGTCGCTAGGATGGGGCAAGTGGGGCCGCTTCCCCACCCCACCCCACCCCAGTAAAAGAAGGGGGGGGGGAGAACACGAGGTGTGAAGTCATATTGCTGTTAATGTAATACTCATTTAACAACATGGGCGTCTGCAGGGGTGTCAATGGGGGTGGGGTGAGAAAATGTCCCCCGCCAATCCTCGGAAAATGAGCGATTGAGAATTTGCTAGAAAAAGTTAACGGATTTTGGAAATATTTTGCTTTGCCCCTCTAGAAAAAAATCCTGGCGATGCCCATGCAAGTGGTGTATCCAGTCCATTGTGCAGACCAGATCTACAAAAAGAGTTCCAAGTTAAAAACCATTCTGAAGAGCTTAATAGCATTGGTGCACTCTGTGACCAGTTTTACTATGCTTGCTTTTGTGGTCTTCATCACTAGAGAAGTGGTGAATTGACAGGTGGTATAAGCAGGGGCCGGGCGAAGCACTCAACAAACGCGTCATTCAGCTTTCGATCCGGACAGAAGTTTCGGACGATATACTCCGGATGAAAACCCCGGCACCTCTGAAGCAGGAAGAACAGTACATGATGGCCACAGACTTCCGAATAGTCGCCCTGTATCCTGAGCCGATTGTACACGGTCCGGATCGTATTATTTCGCAGAAACTCCTGCAGCATCGGATGTTTCGGTGGTTTACCTAGAGAATCGAAGACCTCTCCTTCCCCGTACGGAGTGATGTAGACGGCCACCCAGTGGTTCATGCCAAAGGAGGGGACAGATCTGGCCGTGATCACGAACGCGCTGGGCCAGGGAACCCGTTCCTGGGGGAGACCGTTGACGGGGTAAACTCCCTCGAAGTACCGGCGGCTGTACTTGTCATGTAGGAGGGCGTACTGGACTTGTTCGCTATCCATTGCAACCAGGTTGGCCGGAACTTTGTAGGTTTGGTGGTTGTGGTGCTGGTGATGAGGGTATAAGAGCTGCAGTGTTGGTGATCGTAAGCTATGACGATTGTGATTAGTAACGGATAGGCCTATTGTGGAGATGAAACTTGCACTTGTCACAGCCAAACGTTGTCTTCAAAATCTCCGCACTGATCTGATGACAAAGACATTTCGAAGACTTAAAATATAATCACTGGCCACTTCTTTTATTGTAATTAAGTTTGTTTACATTATGTTACTAGGGGCTACATTTTTAAGTGGGCAAGTTTTCCGATTTATTTTCAGGTGAGAAGTATTAGGCCCTATAGTTGCTAAATGTCGTGAAATGTGAAATAAAATTATTGAAAAATAGGCTTACTCATGAACCTGAACAAAGACATTGAATAGAAGGGGATTTGAACCTGCAATCTCCGGATTACAATACCAGTGCTCTTTTTCAGCTCTATTATATAGGCTTGCAGTTTCAAGTTAATTGAAAAATAAACAAAATGTAAATATACTGTAACAAAAACATCTTTGCTAAATGTTCACCACAACAAGCAATTGAAGTAGCGTAAAATGTGATCATAAAATTTGCCCAAAATCGGAAAGCATTGATGTACATGTTGGTTGCTCAAGTCTTGCGACCAGAATAAGAAGCACGTTCACGCGCATCCTGCGCACGTTCTTAAAGACACGGCGCGTGCTCATTTTGGCAACTCTTCTGGTCGAAGGCCTTAAGGAGCACGATTTACCCATAGAGCTAGGACCCTTACCCGAGCTCGACTCGCGAGAGCCTTGTGCCACCTCAGAAAATGGCTGTCGCCGGATTAGTCTACAACATCAACACACTAGGCAATGAACACGGGCCGTCACACGGCACCCCCGTCGCCACTCACTTCACAACACAATTTGCATTGTACGAAGTTGAAAAGGTCAATTCATGTTTGGGGAGAACTGCTATATACTCACCTAAAAAGTGTCAGCATCACAAGATATCACTCCGAACGAAGTCTGGTTCAAGATCGCTGGAAATTAACTTTGAACGAGTATTCTAATTGGTACTGCATGCACCACACCAGGGATTGCTTGTTAATCTGCGGAACGAGTGTGTTCAAATGCGTTTTGGTCCCAAAACTGAAGTGAGTGGAGCATAACAGCCAAATTCTTCTTTAGTATTGCTTTAGTTGTAACCAAGTGTACAGTGATCATTTGCTCGTGACGAAGTCCGACCTCGACGTTTTTAAGCCATCAAAGTACCCCTTTGTAAGCCCCACTGACTGAATTGAAAGATTCAGACACACGCCGTTTGACATCAACAAAACGGTGCCCTCTCCCCCTGCATGGTGAACATGTAGCTCTTCCATGACTTGTAAAACGGGACTGCGTGTACTGTACTACACGTAGACAATAGGCCAGCTTGATCCGGAAGTCTTATACTCAGCCTACTCAGTAATTAACTCATTCGGCGTCTCGCAGTAGGCTGGTCCTTTGGGTCACAAATTTCAGGTTTTTTATTTTCATATCCAAATCTAAAGCAACGTTATTAGAATATTGAAACATATAACAGCCGCTTATATAGTAAATGTAAACACCAAAGCTCAATGATGTATGACAAAACAGCGACGGTAATCATCAAGTTTTATACCGTGTTTGAGTTGAGTATTGTTACTTATTACATTATATTCACCCAGGATATGCCGAAACGAGGTGCGAAGCCATATTGCTGTTAATTTGATGGGGGGGGGGGGGCAAATGCTCCCCTACTTACGCTCGGAAAAAAAGGATAGATTGAGAATATAATGAAAAAGTTAAGGAATTTTTTGGGAAAATTTGCTTTGCCTCCCCCCCCCCAAACAATCCTGGCGACGCCCATGGCCAAAACAGTTTAAAACGGGTTTCCATTGAGCCTTGTATACAACAAAATGACTAAACACATGTATACAAATAAACACAATACAACAATACCATACAATACAATGAATTAAAGGCATGAGATTAATGTGTCATTGTTAAGCAACTATTGTAAATATTGTGAAACTATAACAACTGCACGCATGTTCAGTGTGAAACAACATCGCTAACGGGCCACTAAAAGGTGAATTAAATTAACACAAAGAAACTGGACAACATCACCAAAAAAAGAAAGAAAAAAGCTACATATTCGCTGATTACAGGAGGCGCGAAAAAAAACTGCGAAAAACCCTTCTGGGAGAAAACACGGGAAGGATGTGCATATGCTAAAACTAAGCGTACACCTGCGTGATTCAACTTCAACGGTGACATAATGATTATGATAAAAAAAAAAAAAAAAAACACTATTCAGTACAATTCTCCCGGTCCATTTAAATTAGCATAACTATTTAACATTCATCGTGGCGTGAAAGAACGCGTACACCGTCAAGAGCTGCAGTGTACATAAACACAATCATCTCTCAGTCACTGACAAACTTTACTCAAGGGGGAAATAGAGCACCGTAACCAAGCATATGGCACTACTAAGCAATGAAATTCATGGTTATACAATTAAATCTATATTTAATCTACTTACATCGCTATTGACAATAAAAATATCTACACTTCACCGATCATTGAATTAAACAACTTTTGGCGATTTGCAGCTTTGACGATGACCGATCTGCCCAACAGAGGGCGCTGTTGAGGCAATCCACTCTGCCACCACTTTATATCAGCTGAATTAAACAAAACTGCAACCATAAGTTAGTTTCATGTCCAAAAGGACATGAACCCTACTGTGGCGTTACACCATCTGTGCTGAGACAGTACGCTACTGTCAGCAAAACGCATCAAACTGTCATCCACTTGCGCGGCAGAAGCAACTAACATGTCCAACTCGGACAGCGAATGGAATGCCATTGAAAGGTGGACAACAACATCCACAAACTCACCAACCCGCCGCACGTGGTGAGTCTTTTGGTAGAATACCTCCCAAATATCATATTACGGAAAATACCATGGAAGCCACCCCCCACCAGTTCCTCTGGAGCATCACACAACGGCAACTGCTTGGAGCAGGGGTGCTAAGAATCACTGGGTTCACAGGAGTTACCAAAAAGTATCAATACATGTATTTGCACATAAAACACCCGATCACTGGTTATACGATAGGCTCATGGAACTGGAAAGTGAATTGGAACACATAAAATAGGACGTCGAAGGAGAGATGAACGTAGGCCCCTAGAACTAAACAGTGGACCAATGTTCTACTATACAAAGGGCGGGACATCGAGAGTATAGGCTTCCTCTTGTGAATACGACTATAACGGATATAGTCACTAACTAGATACAGGAATTAAGGAGACTGGACAGCTCACTCATCTTTCAAATCATCAGAGAGATACAAGCTCCAGTTATAAATACAACTTCATCCTCGTGAGTACCGTTGCTGATGCATGTGCGAATAATTATGGATAGGTATTGGGAGATTTCAACGAACAAGCAGGGAAGAAGAAAAACATGAAACATCAATGGGGAAATTTAGAGTAAATAAATGAATGGTATAATTAGAAGACAAACTTGTGAAATTTGCAGAGGTTAATCAGCTGAAGGCTATGGACAGCAAACACTTTCTTCACGAAGAAGGCTCGCAAATGTACCTGAAAAGCCCAAATAAAGGATACACAAATGAAACAGACTACATGTTGTGACAGATATAACATAGGCCAAAAAAAAAAGTCTCCGGTTTCTGGTATGGAGCTTCCCCAAAAAGTGGTGCGGCGACGCGGCTTTTTTTTTTTTTTACCTGATATTTTTGCTTTAAATGTCGGCTGATGACTGCAAATGGTGCCCGACTAAACTTACTAGTGCAAATATATGGGAGTCCAGAGAGGCCACATAAAGCTTATTCTCAACCATAACCAAATCTAAAAACACGTTAAAATTGTGCAGCAGCAGGATTCCAGTCAAACCAGTGAGTTTGGCGGTTTTGAGACATCATCTTTCATTAAAAAAAAAACGTTTTCATTTTGCCGACGCGCATGGTTACGGCGACGCGCGCGCATACCAGAAACCGGAGACTTTTTTTTTTTGGCCATATGTAATAGTGACGTCAGATTGGTTAGGTGCAAAGCAAAATTGAACATTAACAGAAGAGGTAGCAATTGATGACAAAGGCAGACCTGACAAAAGTAAATGATGTGATGGTGAACAGCAAACAAGAATAAATGGAGATGGGCTGGACACCTGGCAATGGCGGAGCCGACTCACAAAATGGCAACCACTAACGGCAAAAGAGAGACGAGCCGGTGGTGGAAACAGTACAGGGACAACAGCCTGGAGAGGACATACCAAAGACCGAGATAAATTGGTATGGGAGAGACCTTTGCCCAGCAGTGGAACGATACAGGCCGACGACGACTACCAGCCAAGCTAGGGGATGGGCTGGGGATAATTACAGGGTTGCAACCATCTAGACCAGATACTCCAATTGATCTGTTCACTTTAAGGCCAATTACAAAATGGAGTATATTACCGATAACACGTTTCTTGGTTACTTTGGGGAAGCACTTAACGAATCCGTGATGATGATGTTGTAGGCCAATAATGTGGGATTCATATTCAACTATATAGGACTCTGTCCCCAAACATCTACATTTACATGTACATGTATAAACAACGCGCATCACTAGTCTAACTTGTAAAATACCTTGCCGACTCTGAACACAAGAGGGCGGTATGACCGGGCTCAATTTCTGTGCTGCATGAATTGCTCAATTAATTATGTCCTGCGCAAATAATTATGTAACCAGGTGGCATTGTTTTTTTAAACAAGTTTGGATTCCTTTGAAATTAATTGAAATTGAATCGAAGTATATAGCCCAAAGAAAGTTACACAATATAGAAAAGGAATGTTTCATTTACAATATATTTTGTTCATGAACATGATGAAGCATCACTCAGAAATACAATGGTTTTTTTGTTCACAACACTCCCCCTCAAATCCTATATCTTGAATTTGAATAGGATTTCCACACAGCTGGTGGTTAAGATGAAATATTTTTTCCCAGATATTAAAACAACTTAACAATTTTGCAGTTTGCTAGGTAAATGTATTTGGTCAGACCCGAGTTCCTTATTACACTAGTAAGGTGTAAACATGTTCTACTCACTTGACAGATAAGCAATTACAATTAATGTACATGTACATGTATATTACTAGACCCACCGAATTACAGGTTTTTTTTACAAGTGTATACTTCTGTATGTGTTCATTCAATGTATGCCCAATCATTTTTTTCTCTCTCCATTTGAACACTTCTAAACATGGACACAGTAACCACTTTCGATGTTTATTATCAACAAACTTACCTTCCCATAGGTCCAAGTTTTCCTCATCACACATCACTAAAATAAGAAATTTGTGCAGTGCTGCACTCATGTTGATGAAGAAGAAAAAAAACGATTCTTACATGAAACCAATCTGGTTGAATACAGAAATGTCATTCTTCAATTTTAAATCCATACTATGGCATAATGATAAAATCTGCATTGAACACTGCTAAACATAGACACAGTAACCACTTCCGATGTTTATTATCAACAAACTTACCTTAACATAGGTCCAAGTTTTCCTCATCACACATCACTAAAATAAGAAATTTGTGCAGTGCTGCACTCATGTTGATGAAGGAAAAAACCAAAGATGAATCTTACATTAAACCAATCTGGTTGACAATCTGCTACAGACATTTCATTTACAAATTGCATCTTCAATTTTAAATCCATACATCACAATGATGAAATCTGCAGTAGGTCGCACTTCACTGTAATTATGCGCACCTTTACTTCAATCTGCAAAACTGTGTGTATAATTGCATATTTTTTTAATATAGCCTACATGTTGTAAAAGAAAACAAATATGCATACACAGTAATGTGTATTTAATGGAGACGACCTCCATAACACTATCAAATGCAATTCATTAAAAGTTTTAACATCTAAACAAATATTTAAACATTCTCTGGTTCACAATGTTTTTAGAAATCACACACTACATGCACTCAAAGGTGATTTTTTCCCCCAGAAATTAAAACTTAACTATTTTGCAGTTTGCTAGGTAAATGTATTTGGTCAGACCCGAGTTCCTTATTACACTAGTAAGGTGTAAACATGTTCTACTCACTTGACAGATAAGCAATTACAATTGGTGTACATGTACATGCATACATAGGCCCACCGAAATACAGGTTTGTTACAAGTGTATTCTTCTGTATGTGTTAATTCATTGTATGCCCAATCATCAATTTTGCCTTATACATTTTTCTCTCCCTTTGAACACTTCTAAAAATAGACACAGTAACCACTTTCGATGTTTATTATCAACAAACTTACCTTCACATAGGTCCAAGTTTTCCTCATCACACATCACTGAAATAAGACATTTGTTCAGTGCTGCACTCGTGTTGATGAAGAAAAAAAAAACAAAGATGAATCTTACATTAAACCAATCTGGTTGACAATCTGCTACAGAAATTTCATTTACAAAATGCATCTTCAATTTTAAATCCATACTATCACAATGATGAAATCTGCAGGAGGTCACACTTCACGGTAATTATGTGCACCTTTACTTCAATCTGCAAAATTGTGTGTATTGGATATTTGTTAATACAGCCTACATGAAGTAAAAGAAAAAATATACAAATGAATGTGTGATATTTAATGGAGATGTCCTCCATAACACTATCATATGCATTTCATTAACAGTTTTAACATTTAAAAATCTTTAAACACTCTATATTACACAATGTTTTCAGAAATCACACACTACATGCATTCACATGCAGGCCTAAACTCTGCTCTATCAGGCATATTGAAAGATTTTGCCCAAACAATATGTCATATACATGTATAAAGCATAACAGCAAAATAACAGACACTTCAAAAATGGGAAGTACACTTTTCTGTGTGTTCTGCAAAACATTCACATTTAGTCTAACTGAAATCAACACTAAAACAAAATAATAATTAACAATAAAAATTGTTTGAATAAATGAGAAAGATTCACTTTGATAAATTCATACGTACCCTTCCTTATTTTACATTACTTTGTGTTTACAGTACCATTAGGAAAAAACAATGAAATATTGTACATGTAATCAGAAAATCATAATAAAATATTTTAGAATAATGATTATGCTTTTGTAAGGAACACTGAAAATGTGTCAATTTTACTTTATCTGAGTCAAATTTGATTTATTGGTTGCTATATAAGTTGATTATGGTTTCATTTTTGTAATCGACCTAAATTTGTCGAGTTGTTTATTCGGTGACAAACTTGGTGCAATTTCTCGCATGACGGGTCACTACAAACAATTTTAACATTAAAAAAGTCATGAAACATCCTATGTAACTCAACGTTTAAAAAAAATCACACACTAAGCTTATACATGTAGGCTTACACTCCTCTCCAGACATAAGCTATTTTGAATGATTATGCCCAAACCCCATGCATTATGTCATGGTAAAAACAAAAAATAATAAATAAAATAAACAAAATAAACAACTGACACTTGCCAATGGTAAAGGACAATTTGTGAGTGTTCCACAAATTGCACATTAGTTGATTTAAATCAACATTAACACAATTATTATTAATGATAAAATGGTTTGATAAATGAAGACAAAGATGCATTCTGATCAACCCATACTTACCATTCCTCTGTTAAATAGTTCACTCAATGCGTGCAATACAATTTAATTCAGTTCAATATCAAATGCATTTTTCCCAAGACATACTTTTATTTAAAAAAAACAAAAAAAAAACAGCATATATAGCATTAGGCAAAAGAACTTGGAAATATTTTATATGTAATCAGAAAATCAGAATAAAGTAAACGTACAATGTACACTAAAAATGTGTCAGTTTATTTTAATTATCTCTGTCAAATTTGATGATTTCTGTTTTTGTTTGTTTGTAGTTGAGCTAAATCCATTGAGTTTGTTTCATTCGGGGACAAATAGTGATGCACAGAGGAATGAAGAATTACTCCAGGGGTGGGGGAAGGGGGGGGGGGTTGCAGTCGGGCCGGGTGAACACCCCCCCCCCGGAAGTGACCAAACTGTTGTCACATGACACCATTTTTTACATGTAAGAGCCTGTCCCCCCACCCCATCCTCATAAGCCATACCCCAATCAAATTTTAACATTTGAAAGTTGAAAGTCTAAGTTATAAACACGAACATCATGATGTTGGGCACGTGTCAGTTTCAAAAATGAACAAGCCAAAATGTAGGCCTACACTCCTAGCTCTCCATAAAAAGGCATTTTTAATGATTTCGCCCAAACAGTGTACACAAACAAGAATAGTTTACAATATAACAATCATTTCCAATATGGGAAGTTACATTTTACATGGGAAGTTACATGGGAAGAATACTATCACTCGCATGACAGGCCGCATACTCCAATAGTTTTCCCTCTTTTCTCTGTCTGGCTGTCGACTTGCAAGGTCTATAATCCCGCCCTACAATCCTTCTCATTTCAGGCCCGGTGTGTGACCGGATTCTGGAGCACATTCTGGTCTGGGGGGACAATGTTTTCCTTCCACAACAAAACCCGTCTCGTCTGTCAATCAACTTTTTTACGGCGTTACTTTTACAATGACAAGCCAACGATAATTGACACATTGTGCGAGTAAGGTCAGAGGTTACGGTTGAGTGACTTCCTGGGAAACATGCCTACGCTGAGAACTATTTTCTTCCAAATATAGTCTTAAATGTTTTTTAAAAAACATCATATTGGCAGAATGGGGTGTTTGAATCATTACTGTAAGCTTATTCAAGTGCTTATGCTGTAAAAAAGGTTATTCAAATATAAAATTTCGGAAGAACTGTGTGGCGGAGGGATATTGCAATCACCTTATCCATCGCTAATGTACACAACACAGTACCTGTCTAGTGCATGCAGTGCATGCTGTATGGTGTGTATTGTAATTGAAGCTGTATGCGTACGATGTGACCGGGGAAAATTGACAGAATCGTAGAAAATACCCCCCTTTTGGGCCGTTTTCATGGAACATTATGCTACATTCGAGGACAATATCATGTAGGTGACATCTCGGCTGCCTACAGAGATGGCAAGGCTATGGATTCTGGTCTTTGTATGCTGTCTTCGAGCACAAATTCGAGGTGAGTTTTTGGAGGGTAATGCCAGCGGACGCAGTGGAGTCCCGCTCGTATTACGGCACCGAATGCTGGTGCTTTGTGCACGTTTACTGGGTCTGTAGACTCAGTCATGTCAGTGGTTGCCTTAAAAACGAAGTTATCCGATTTGTGTTTTCTGCATGTTTTTAGCATCATTTATGGTGTAAGGAGTACAATTCTGACATCCCTACCAGTATTACTTACCAATACATTTTATACAATAATTTACTACGACTTCTAATGAAAAGTACAGATTTCAAGCATTTGTCAAGTGTGTATTTTTAAGTTTAATTTATCTAGGGCATCTTTGCTCTAGCAATCCTGTCTTGGATGTCAATCACATGAACCATGCTGGAACATGGTGAAGGCATGGACCATGTACGGTTGGGATTTGTTTGTTACAACTCCTTCATGTCATTCTTTTTCCTATTTAGTTGAAGATAAACGCACTGCATAATACGAACACTTCATCTGGGATCTATTCCTACCCCCTTTAGCCCCCTAACCCCTTAGTAATAGCTTCCTCAGGACTACCCTGCTAAATCAACAGAGTCCAACGGGAGTTTCCTGCACTCAATCCACTGTGCCTTAGTTGTCTGCTAGATCCAACGGAGTCCAACTCAACTTGACGTTATAATGCGGTTCATTCGCCTGCTGAATCCAACATTTTGCATCAGGAATGTACACCAGAATGTACACGCTGTGTTGACGCTGTGTTGACGCTTATTAGTGCAACCCGGGGTTTACTGCTCAATCCTGCTGCATCCTGTTGGATTCAGCAGGGTTAGGGCTAACGCTGGATTTATCCACTGTTTAATAGTGTTATAAACCAAAATGAAAGACTAGTAATGATGATTATCATAATCAAGCTATAATTTATAGCTGGAGTAAGTCCAGCTGACATGCTCATCAAGAATTCACATGTAACGCTGGATTCAAAACTACGTTGTAATATATGAGATTGTAAGAGAGCTTAAAAAAAGACCTTCACAAACGTGACAAAATGGTCTTTTTTCCCTCTATTATCCCAACCCAGATTCCATTAAACATACATACCTCATAGTTTGCACTCAGTCATTCACAAAGCTAATGACCGACATGAAACAGATGCAAAAGTTACTAAAATATGAAAAAATAGGCCCTATTGATGATTTCGTTGGCTTCTTCAGAAAAAAAAAGTTCAGTGCTGCCGTACTATCAATCATGCATGGCTATGCGTTGTGGTTAATTGTGTGCTTGTGCCGATCAGCCGATCAGATTACCCCATTCCTCAAATAATCAATTTCTGTGAAGTTGGCAACATACACGTGTGTGTAAATGATTTACAGCAAAATGTCCACATTATAAATGTTGACACATCCGAGGTAAACAGCCAAACGATTAACGATATGAAAGTTGTGAACCAGTAGGCCTAAATGTTGAATCTACAATATGTTGAAGTTATTTGGAGATGCTCCAAACAGATTGCATGCAGATCAGATACATTATATAAAAACATGTGCTTTTATTATGAAACCAAGCATGTTAGCTTTTCCCGAGTCCCAATCAATTTCTGATTGGGATAGTGCAACACTCGGAGCTGAAGGATTTACAATTTTACGCTCTGGTGTGCTGCACGTCCTTGAACCTGGTTGCTTGAAAAGACATGCCGAAGCAATCCCTGCAGTGCCTTTGTGCACCTGACTCGCTGCCAGATGAGATGGTAAAATCCACCTGTAAAGGGAAAATATGATTGATTGGCTCCAATGAATAGCTCCACAAAAGTAAAGTGCATGTAGTCACACCTGTTGGTTTCCGGAGGGAGGTGAAGTCTTTTCATATTTTTCCCCCCTTTACATTTCAGCTAGCTCTGTTATTGTTGTTAGTTCTGTCGTTGGCTCCATTCAGGGTACGAAGTAATTTGGTAAACAATTTCAACTTTTTTTGAGCGCTTGTTGAGGTAATGTACGTGTAGAGTTTTGAGATTTTTCATGGGAGTTAACTTAGAGTTTTGTGTACAAGCCTCTGTTATTTTGACTGAAACCAGGATTTTATTCTTATCTTATTACAGTGAACAATGCGAAAGTATTGTGTTTTTCGTTTTCAGTACTCTAACACTTGTCCAAGGATGTTAAGCATCACGAACATGTAAAGGGGTGTGCATCCCAAGTTAGAAGCTTAGATCTGTATTCAGTTTGGGTTTTTGCAATAATGGTTAGGGTCATTGAGTTTAGTTAAGCATCACGAACATGTAAAGGGGTGTGCATCCCAAGTTAGAACCTTAGATCTGTATTCAGTTTGGGTTTTTGCAATAATGGTTAGGGTCATTGAGTTTAAATTTCTTTTTTCAACCCATCTGCAAGTTTGATGTCCTTCGTTTTTGTAGACTAATTGGGCAACAGCCATTTTCTGTGGTGACTCCAGGCTTCTGCAAGTCGCGTTCAGGTACCAGTAGTATGCACACACTCTGGACTCTGTCAACCAATAGGTTACCAAGATGAGTGCACCTCGTCTTTAACCCTAACCGCCCTGAATCCTCCAAAATCCTTTTTGCAAATTGGAGGAATTTGCAGGATTGAGGTTACATGGCAAAAGTGCGTTGCTGATTTCGGAGTACGCACTGAGTCAAGGTCTTGGGCCGGACCTTGTGTTGTTTATGCTCAGCCGTGCATAAATTTAGCCCTTGATTATACTTGACATCCTCCGCACTGACAGGATGTCACTGCCTCTGCCTCAGCCTATTGACAGTCATAGCCGGAGGATTTTGCAGGATTCAGGCAGTGGTCATCCCACCATGAACCATATTCAAGAAATAGCGGAGGAATTTGCAGGATTGAGGCTATATGCTATTTTTCCATGAGGCCAATTGGAGGATTTTGCAGGATTGAGGCTACATCCTAGCAAAAATGCCTAGGGAGTTAGGGTTAAGAATGCGTGCAGCATGCGCGTGAGCGTGGCACCATCGCAAAACTTGCTTCTAATTTTGTTCAGCAAATTCCAGTATACATCATGTTTTGTAAATAAATAAGTCAATATAAATTTACGTAAAATAAACCCTGCTCTGGCCCTAAAGCTCCGTAGCCTTGAGGCAGTGCCATTTTCCGGACGAGCCACCATATCCATTTAATTCCATGGCACATCCATGATCCTTCCCTCCAAGAGGAAAAAAAAAACCTCAGTGCAGCAGCTTCAAGTTTGCCAGAGCAATTTCCATCAGGCGATGATGTTTCAGTGAACAATAATCTGCTAACAGGTTTTCTCAGGGAAGCGGTGTGCTTGAGGTGTGGGAAGGAGTCCCACGTGTCAAGTTTATACTGTCGGGGCATTTTGTCCCCGTTGACCTTGTCGGGTATTAAGTTACACTATCCTCCCTGACACTACTGTCTCCAACTCTCTCAAGGCTTTACCCCAGGATGCGGAGGAACTCAGGCCCTACATGTATTTAGTAACGACCCATCTCGATAGGTCCTTTTAATGCCTTGAAGAGATAATTGAAGATGGGGGGAGCAGTAGGAGGGATCATGTTCATGGAAGATGAGTAACTCTGTTCAATTGAATTACTGCCATTACTCATGCTTTCCTCAGCATGATGTGAGTATTGAGTAGTGCCATTCATTGATTCTAGTCTAGGGCCACAAATTTACGATTATTTTTTCAATCGCTTAATCGTTTCCTTTTCGATGACGGTTTCAAATAATCTAACAGCCATTTTATTTTTCTTTGGAAAATGCGGGTTGGGTAAAAAGTGACAAAATAAATGGCCTACATGTACATATCTCATATTTTTTTGGACTTTCCGATTCTTTTAGACAAACATAATCAGGGCAATGTTAGCACCATATCGTCCTGTGGACACATGTTGGTGTCCTGAGTCCATCAGAATCCACCAGTGAGTCCATCAGAATTCACCAATGTAGTATGCCTGGTACACTCCAAACAAAAAGGCCGTACCTGTAGCCAAGAAGTTAAACTGTTGAGATCTGAATCCATCAAAGTCCCCCAACTGCTCAAACTGTACATGTATCCTGAATCCATCAAAATCCTGCAGTACCGCTAGGCTTACTGTCCTGAGTCCATCAAAATCCCCAACTTTTTCAACATGGTGGTATCCTGAATCCGCCGAAATCCTCCAAAACAGGGGTTTGGATTTGGATGGGTTCAGGTACGATACTTAGGGTGAATCAAGTAACCGAATAATGCTTACGCCCCTATCAAATCTAGTCAGTGTGTCACACAAGGCTTGGGCTATGATTTTTGTAAAGTTTACGACTTTCGCTTTACTTGAATTACCTGTTTTATACGAAATGTGGACACAGTGATCTTCGTTGAAGTATGTTATTGGCGATGCAGCCTGAAAGATAAGATCAGGAAGTTTCAGTCTTACAGGAGTAAATTATTTCAAAAATAAATAATTAACTCTCCTGTGGTTTGACCATTCAAAACACCTCAAAATCTGGGTTCTGGCAAATTGGAGGACAAAAAATGCAGGACCTTTTAAAATCCTCCAGAATTTATTGTTACTGCACTACCACACCTTTCAATTCCTTTCGAAAGGTATTGAAATGCAACTTACTGAATTTGCCCACAGAGTTGCTTCACCTTCCGAAACCTTTCGAAAAGTTTCAAAGTTCCAGCACTATTTCACCTTTCAAAACCCTTTTAGTCAGGCAAATTTAAAATGTTTTGAAAGGTCTGATAATTCTCTGCCAACTGCACTGGGCATAGCAGGGTTAATGATGATTTAAAGCAGTTTTGGAATTGTTTCACTTCTAGATTGGGTTTGTTTCATTGAAGTTTGGATGTTTAATTTGTAGCCCTTCCCAATCAAAATTTAAAAATAAATCTACTTTAAGTAGTTTGAGAAAATTGTCAGAGATGAAATAAATGTTGAACCACCTGGCCATGATTTTCTCCATTGAAAGTGTATCAACCTATAGAACCTACATGTAGATGTTCACTTACAAAGTCCCATCAATTTCCACCTGTCTGTATCAAAACATCCACATATGTACACATAACCTGGGCGAGTTAATAATTTGTGCCATTATTAGCTAACATTAACTTCATTGCACCTTGTTAAACCTAGAATTAACTGTCAATCTCTTTTTTTTTTTCAGGCGACAACCGTGTACTTTTAGTACTGGCATGTTGGATAATTAACGTTGCCAGACAATCTCAGAGTTACTGAGTGCAGTTGCGAGGCACTCGGTCAAAACGTGCCATATTTTATGTCTGAACGCTTGGCACTTACAATGTACGTGTGAATGATATTGCTTAATGCAGTTGATATGGTGGGGATCATAGCTTGATGGATCAGTATGCATTCCTCAAAATTCAGCAGCCGATTTCACCAAAACAGTGTATAACTTACGCCATTCATAATTACGCAACAAATGTATTGTGCAGCTGCGCAAAGTTTACAATTGATTTCACGAAACTAAGCGTAGCTGGGCAGTGTTTTAAATAATGTTAACATCCTGGATGAGGATACGGTAGTAACAGCATTGACGACGGTTGTTCGTGCATGATATTGTTCGTTCATGAAACAGCCTTTGAATCACGTTCGCCTGCCATTTTGAAAATAGTTTTGTTAGATTTTCTTTCGAATTGTGTGCCACGAGTAAAACAGCAATTCTTTTACTGAAAAAAAAGGCTGTGGGTGTCTTGAATCAACCTTGATAAGTTGTGTGTACAATAACAGGCTCCACGACGATCACGATTTCCTGGTAATATACGTATTTTTTCAGTGGCTACGCCACAACTTACGCAACCTAAGATGATTGTGCAAGTTACGCCATAATTTGTTGCGCAAGTCGCGGACATTTATAAGTAATATTAAACTTTCGAGAAATTGTCGTTGTGCAACTTTTGTAATAAATCGTGGTGCATGTGGACATATGCTGTGGCGTAAATGTTTTTTGTGAAATTGGCTGCTGGTTAGTTTGTGGAGCTGTTTGGTATGTTACTGGTCAAAGCACATGAAGTTGTAATTTAATGTATTTTGTCATGTGTCAACTTTTGTTCTTCTTCATGAAATGTTCATTGTTGTTAAGTGAGAATATTCTTTGGCCATGACTTTGGCCTACACTTTTTACCGAGCGTTGTACAAACCATACAAATTAAATGAAATCTAATTTACTGACACTGAAGAGCAACATACACACATTGTATATATAGCAAAGTTATTTTCATTAATACCAATCATGGAGATCAGTTGAATTGTTACCAAAAACACGTACTAAATGCACCGTTCATCACAGAGGAATACTTATTCCTCCATTGTTTCATTCATGTTTAATATTGACTTTCACATAATTACCAACAAGTATCTTGGACATTATTGGCATTTTACGAATGTTGTATGATGTAGTGCATAATATACAACACATCATCTTACAAAGCACAACATGTACTGCACATGTACCTGTACCGTACATTGCATGTTTTCCCATCCTCCATGCATAGGCCTACAGTGACCAGAACATGTACATGTATGGTGCAGCTCTGTGCCTCTGTGTAAACGACCTGTATTACATTGTGTACATGTGCACTGGACACCAAGCAGTAGCGCAGCACTACATGTATGCATGGTATTGTCCACCATCTTGGGCTGAGGTCAAATCTGACTGTGGCCCAGTGGGGGGACCAGAGTTTCAGACATGTCTAATTACTGTGAAATGATGGATGGCATTAAAGGGACTTCCACAATCCAGGGAAAAGGGATGCTTTAAAAACACATTCAGTATACATGTACCTGTACATGTGCCCAGCATTTCAAACATGTACCATGTACGTTTACCTATTTAGTTATGATGGCTGTTAAATTTAAACGGACATTCTTGTCACCACCAGGTTTGATTGAATACTCCAACAACCTTGCACCGGGTATTTATAACTTACATGTAGTTTAAATGTACACTGTAGATGAAGGTTTTATAGTGCAGCACTCGCTGGGTATTTTGTAAGTTTATCTATTGATGTAAACAACATGTTACATGTACCACTATGTCTGCTTACAATGTATTTTTGTACTGTTTGTGTGTACAAATGTATAGGCCTAGTTGACGTAACAATAATAATAATAACAAAGTATGGTGCTTACGATGTATTGGTACGGTTTCAAAGTGCTTTTCAATTGTTATCCGTGTGCATGCCATCAGGAATGAGACCATTTTTCTGCAGCAGCTCGAGATCAGAACAGTTTGGTGTACATACTCTGCCTTCCGTTCACTGGTACATGTTAAAATACTCATGGGTGGAGAGGAAAAAATAAATAAAAATGTAAGGGGAAATGCAAAAGAAAAATGTATACAAGCTCTCAGAACACCTTCCCAAGTTACACTGAAGTCTTCATTGCATACATGTAATTCCATGACAAAAGATTGATAACTTAATAACAGAACAAGGAATGCTAATAAGGGCCTACACATGTTACAGCTGTGGAGCTAATAACCCATTGACCTTTGACCCAGAGATCCCACTGTGTCAATGAATGGGCCAGTGAGAAGGCCCCTGAATGACCAGCCCTGCTGCATTGTGCTTGTAACTAATGAGTGCATTGCATAATTGGCTGAGTGGCTTTCTGCCTTTGTAGCCTGCTTGTTTATTCTCCCCCAGGTACTCCAGTACAGCAGGTCTCTGAACTCATGGTAACATTATGCACAAGTGCAGTCTCCTATAATCTTGTAAAAATACCGTTCATGCATTATCTTGTGAAAGTACGGGCATCATACAGAATCTTGCATGCAAATTTGTAGTCACCTCAAATACACCGTACAGAAATGATTACCGTACACGTGTGCAAAAGGCAAAATATGAATTTCCTGCCAAAGTGAATAAAAAAACATAAGGAAAGGAGTGTTTAAAACTGCAGAGTATAAATTGCATTACCAGTAGTTACCGGTACATATTACATACAATATAACATTTCTATTACCCTAACTCCCTAGGGGGTGTGCAAAATCGTATTGAAATTGGAGGATTCAGTACTGTTAAGGATGTACCGGTATTATTAATGCAATTACCGATAGATACTTTGGATGCATGGCATCTTTTTTTTCTAATTGCAAATGTGCAAAATATAATTTAAAGGAGCAGACATGTGTATGAACATGTATTAAAATGCAGCCTTTTTTTTCTTCCTAATACACATCCGACAAAAAGATAAAAAAAATTAGAAAGATCATCAAGTTGAACACAACTGTAGGTGAACACAACTACAGCGTGGAAATCTGCGGTTTTCTAGTAATTCCTACCGGTACATTTGTTTAATTGTGTATCACGTTAAGGAATTTCAAGGTACCAATTTTTTGTCCCAACAATTGAGCGGTTGGAGACCCTAGTCGTTACACTTGTTACTCCAGTCACAAGGGTTCAAACAAAGCTGTTAAGTGTTGTGTGTTCAAGTTTCCTATAATTTTCACAAACTGTGTCTGCATAATTACATACCGGTACATGATGAAGCAATAGTCGGATATATACGTGTACAAAAACAAACCACATTTTCCAACTTTTGTGTGGCAGAAATGTAAGACATGTTGGTTCCCTGTGACCCGTCCTTTGAAACATGATGAATAAACACTTTTTTTGTGATCTTGACACGAATGTTCAGGCCAACATGTATCTTTTTGAAAATTCACAAGTTTTACAAAAAAAATGTACTTCAAATTAACTTGGACAGTTTCTTGAACTTACTTTTTTGATTTCTCTACTTCTACTTTCAGCCTTACCTCCAGAACTTGTCTTTGCCAATCGCAAAGACATTCGCATCCTGAACTTCGGGATGTCCAACGACTCGGACGTGACCATGACGACAGAGTCCAGTGTCATCATTGGCAACCTGGAGGACGCGGCGGCCATGGACTACCTCTACTCTGAGCAACTCATCTTCTGGACGGATGTCAGCATTGAAATGATCAAAAGGACGCGATATAACGGGTCTCAGATCCAAGAGGATGTGATATCCACGGACGTGAAGGCCCCCGACGGATTGGCCTGCGATTGGGTGGGCCGAAAGATTTATTGGACCAACACAGAAACGAATAGAATTGAAGTAAGCGAGTTGGATGGACAGTCCAGAAAAGTTTTATACTGGCAGCACTTGGACCAGCCAAGAGCAATTGTAGTACATCCTGAAAGAGGGTAAGCATTGCTTAAAATATCTGTATTTAAAAAAATATATATATATTTTTCAGAGGCCAAAAAGGCCCCAACTTTTTTTGGGGGGGGGGGGGGTTGAGGGGGGTGGGAGGTTGGAATGAAACGTTCACGTTTACAATTTAGTTTATTCATTTTTTTCATAAACCCTAACCCCCATCAGGTATTCTTCATATAAACGCAAACTGACACAACTGAAATCAAAATTCGTCAACCTGCAGATATATCTTATGATTACGTGCAGTTTAGCTGCAGTAGGCCTACCCACTGCTTCCGTTTATAAATTTTAACCAGCCAGCCGACCCGGTAAGACGTCTGCACTAGTTAGCAGGAAGCCGTGGGTTCGAGTCCTGTCTCAGTGATGTTTTTTCTAGTATATATCTACAATGTATGAGAATAAAAAAAAAATAAGAATATGTCAGTGAAGGGCAAAATCCATAATTTAGTCCCATATTGTTTGGGTATTCATGTGCCCAAAATGTCCTACACTGTACAAATATGTCAGATGCCATGTGTTAGAGATCAACATTTTCCAGTTCTGCAGCTGTCCCAGCAGTACGTGCATGGACAACCACTGTTAATAAATTCACACAGTTCCTGAATGCTTTCTCAACTTGCCCCCTTTCTGCCCAGCCACAAGCACCCAGCAATTGTCCCCATATTCACACTCTCTATTGACACTGCTCTTTAGTTGTTCACACCTGAACACAGTGTCATTTCTATTAACTTGCCCCTGTGTGGTAGAAGGAGAAAAAAAATCCCAAATCTGCGTTTGCATTGTGTGCGCACTGGCCCATTGGTTGCACCAGGCTGTACTAGCTAACTGGTGGACTGCCCATTGTTGGCATACAAATGCATTTCCCTGTGCGGTTTACCAGTGGTTTATTCCGTGCATTTTGCCTGTCAGGTTAGTGCATAGTGATTGAGTGATATAGGGAAAGCATTTGATGTGTGCTTGATCAAGTGGCGGTCATGCATGCGTTTTGTCATTGCCCTTCTATTGGGATTGTCATCAAGTGCGTGTTGGATTGTGGCTAGTTTCATGACAATCATAAAAGATTGTTGGTATCCTCTGAAAACAAATCTACATCCTTGGTTTCTGAGTACAAGTTTATGAAAATCACAGTGAAAACCTTCTGAATTAATTTTACAACAAGCCTAAATGTATCTATCCTATCGTGAATTGTTGAGATTTAACGTTTCAAACATTTCCAATTTGGCCCATAAATACCCCCCCCCCCCCGAAAAGAAAAAAAATGGAGTAAATACTTTGGCACTGTTCTACATATATGTGTTGTAATTACAATGGACAACACAAAAATTACACATTTGAAACCCTCAAGACATGTGAAACCCTCAAGAGCAATATTTAAAAAAATCTATATCCTTGATAATTTATAAACTTACACATTGTCAGTTCACACCAGTATCAAATCTGAAAAACAGTGAGCATTTTCTAAATTTATTTTTAAACATACATATACCCTGTTTATAATTTCAAGCATTTTCGGTTTTTCCTCTAATTCCCCCCTTAAAAAAAATCAGTTGAGTGTTGAACATGGCTCTAACCACTTGCACATTGTTTTCTGTGCCTTAACGATTACTCAGAAATTCATCAATATACCTAAGTTTAACTTGAGCACTATTCATCATTTTCATGACCAGGTTTCTAATGGTTTCCAGTTTCTTTGAAACCACCCCATCCCTGCCAGTGATAAACATGTCAGCTAGATCTTGACGCCCTGTCACTCAAACCCTGTGCCCTTTGTTTAGAATTCCCAAGAGGTGGTGGTGGGGGATGGCTGAATGGGCCACCTTGCCCTAATTACATTGTACTTGAGTGTATGGGTTGCCTGTGTATTTGTATGGGAGGTTGCTCTGGTGGCAGAAGCGGGATTAACTGGGATTCAGTTTTTTTCCAAAGAGGTCTTTGGGTGCAGAGTTTTTGTAGAGAAGCAAACAACTTGGCCAATCCTGAAGGAGGGAAAGAGTTTATTTGCCGCACCATTTTGGTGAACACTGTTTGAGAAAAAGATAATTGTTTTCCATTCAGAAATTTCCAACAAGCTGCATAGTAAGCTGAGAAGCGTTTTGGTAAAAAAAATAATTACAAATCCAGTCTATGTTGATCAGATGTATTACATACATGTAAACTGAGGGCAACTTTTCAAAGGAGTTTCTGATTTCCTTGAAAATTTTACTCTAATCTAATCAAAGATTAAATCCAAGGAAAAAAATGTTTTAAATTTAATAACTCTCAAAGCCCCACTGTTAAGATGCAAATCAATCATGTGGTTGAAATTCGTGTTACGATTGATTATCAATAAAAGTACAGTGTAAAACTCGTGCATTGATTCCCCATCTTGTAAAAAAGAAAACTCAATTAAATTCCACAGTTTGTACTCGGCTCCGTTTTCAATCCCATTCAACATTGCGCGCTTTGGATCAGATCTGCCCTCTTGCACTGATTGGGTCAGGAAAGTACACGCTACATCCATGCAGCACATTTTAATCACGGTGGCTGTCACATTTGATTGGGAGTTCATCTGTCAATGCAAACGGAGATCTCTATGGGCCGTGTAGTCAGTGGGTCTGAACGCGCTAGTGTCATGTCATTGCAAATCACAATCAGAAACCAATAGAATTTAAGGGGCTTGAATTACTCCTGGATATGATCTCCTTGTGCATTTGGTTTGTTTGTTTTTGTTTGGTTTTTTTCCACTGCTGTTAGTGTTATTCTCATTCAAAGTACAGTATTTCAATAGGCCTACCGGTATATTGCATCTGCCGGGGACTAAAGTTATTTGCATCCTAAATTCTGTTGTACCGTAGTTTCACTCAAAATGCATACCATACATGTACATGCATACAGTTTACAAAATCTATGGTCACACTAGCAGAGTATTCAATTCTTCTACAGACCCCTTGAACATTATGTGAAACATTGAATGTGAAACAGAATACAGTGTCTGCCTGTACTGGGATATTTTTCCGTTGTTGCCAACTAGATTTGGATTGTTGAGCACAATAAGAAAGACAAATTGACATTGCTAGCTGTAATGGGAGATATTTTTCCGTTGTTGCCAAATATATTTGGAGTGTTTTGTTAAAGGGAATATACATCATTTGCTTTTGCTGTAATTTTCAGATATGGATGGAATTGGGGGGTTGGAAATATATAGCAAATATAGTTACACTGACTTTTTTGCGGTTTTGGGTTCGAAAATGCTATAAAAACCATTTTCCTGTAGTCTGGTTCCCTGACTCCATATAAGAAGAAACAGAGCAGTTTACATACATTGGGGAATTGTAAGGTCAGGGAACCAGTCTAGCTGGCTCGTACCCGTTCATAGGTTTGTAATCGATTGCAAACAAGTGCGATGGTCAATTGGGGCCAGTATTTGAAAAAAAGCCAGTTTTTTCCAACGCTCATCGGCCGATCAGCGTTGGAAATTGATACAAAAATACCACTTTTCTTGAAAATGACAGTATACCAGGTGCCATGATTTTACAGGATGCTTTACACTGTCATTCACTAACAGTCCAGCAAGGTATTTCAAAATGATTTGGTAGTTTTATTTTTTGATGTTTGCAAATGTTGTATTTTCCCTTTAAGCATAGCAAGAAAGACAAATTGACATTGCTACAAACACATGTTTCGTAATTGCACAGAACACTTTCAAGCTAGATCGAGTATTTGTACATGAACACATGCAGTGTTTCAGTGCATTAAAAAACCCTCCAGCGCGTACAGTATACATGCTGGAAACAGCAGTGTGGCTGAACCAAGCATACCCCACCAAAGTAAACACAACCATTGGCTCTTATCAGCCTGAACTTGGCCCTTGCTCCCAGCACCGAACATTCCAGCAGTGTAGAATACCAGACAACTTGACATATGATTGACAGGCTACCGAGCGAACCGAGGTCAAAGGTCATGTTTGTTCAGGGCATGCCAAGCCTCTCTCTTTTTTCCACAGTTGGTGAATCGGTTCCCTGGAAGACAAGAAAAAAAAAAAAGAGAAGGTAAATCCACCCTGTGTTTAGACAGACAGGGCTTAGCTGGAAAAGAAAAACGATCTAGCCAACCGGGCTTAAGATTTCCTTTTCTCCGGCCACGGTTGCCACAAAAACCCTGTGTTACTGCACTGCCTACCACCTTCCAGTACCCATTTTGTGGGTGATTGTTCCCATCATGTTAGCCCACAATAGAAGCAGTGGTGCATGGTGTTATTCCTACAGACACATTGGTAACCCTGTGGTGTGCCTAACAACAGAGGTTGGGCTCTAGAGTGTTTTTCTCTCTCCTCTGATTATTCGTTCTCTTCTATTCAGTCTTGAGGTGATCCATCTTTCTGCTTTTTTTTTTTTTTTTTTTTTTTTTTTTTTCAAAGAGAGAGAGAGAGGCAGTTTGGAGTTTGACATGTCTCACACTGACAGGCCTCTTTTGTTTGTGGGGTTCTGGCTGAAGTCGTATCTCCTGTGTCGCGCAGCACACAAACTACATTGGGAATGGGTTGCATTGTGGGGCCAGTCTGATCACGTATCCAGGAAAGTTTTTTATATTATGCTTCAGTGAATTTGTTGTCCAGAAAAGCTTTTTTTCAATTAAAGTACTACATTTTTTTTCATGCCGTGGTTCTAACTCACAAACTTGATCAAACTTTGACAAAAACAAAACAAAACAAGCATCGACAATATAGAAAACAAGGACAATGTTCATGTACACACACATTCATGTACCCCACCGATGTGGACGCACTACATTTGTACACTCTCCTGAAGACGGTCAGAGCACACTGACCGGAACGTCGAGTTTATACCTCTGGTTCTTTTCAGAACCATTCTCTTAGTTGAGAAATTATTCGCACATGGTGTTTCCGCAAACCTTGCATTATTTAGTATCTCCACCATGCAAAGCCTCAAATCTTACTTACATTTGTACAGGTACCGGGTACACTCACTGGTGCCTGTTCATGTGCATGTACATGTACACTAAAATTCTATCCTAAAACGATTCTCAAGTTCAAACTCTACATGTTGTACAATGTATGTTATAAAATTATTTTTCAAGAACGGTTCAGTCACAAGTTTTTTTTTAGTTTACTGTCTAAAATACATTGCACTTGTATAGTACCGGTAGGCCTATGTTTGTATCCCTACTGGTATACAGATAGTATGTAGGCCTATCGCACATGTACTATTATGCCTCAGTGCTAACCATAATAACGTTATTAATAATTATTCCCCTTTGGTGAGCACTCCAGGTGATTCAATCAAGTTCCACAGGTCAATCAATTTATGGGGCCACATTGAAAAGTGGATTTGTTTCAAGGGCCAGTGTTCTGGTACCAGTGACTTGTAGATAATAATAATATGCCTCTTTTCATTTTGAGTTTGAGAAAAAGAGTGTACATGTACAATTGCAAATACAGTCGACTCTCGTTAGTACAAACTCTGTTAATACAAAATTCTGGTTGTAACAAACATAAAGCCTTGGTCCCAACTGTGCATTTATGTGCACAATGAATGGGACTGATGTTCTTCTTAATACAAAATTCTGATATAACAAACAAATTGGCTAGGTCCGAACGAGTTTGTTATAACGAGACTCAACTGTAGGCCTACTGTAATTTCTATCATATTACACTTTAACACATTACACATTAACCTGTTACTGAACAAATTATATTTTTTTTGCAGCGAGAAACAAATTGCGTGAATGAAAATATACCAGAATGCAGAAGGGATAAATTTGTTCCAGTAGGCCTATGTGGCCTTGCAGAATGCAGAAATTTGTAGGACAGAGTGGCATCAGGCTGAAGTGACTCAGAGCACAGTTTACATTCGCACACTCTCATAAACTAATGAAATTTGGTCCAGTGTCAATCAAGTTTATTAAAACCTCCTACTCATATTTCACCGACAGTCTAATATAAAAAGCAGCAAACTCTTCTTGTTTCAGATGAGAACTAACAAACCTTCCTTTCAGATTGAAGAAATATTGTGTAAAGTTTCTGTACATTTATCGAACAATTAAAACAAATTATACTATTTCCTGGGGGGAGGGATGGGGTTTTTTTTTTGGTTTTTTTACCCAGTAGCTCTTGTACCGGTACTTCATTGTATCACACTGTAATACATTATTTCATTCACATGAAATTGATAAGTCTCAAAAACAATTCAATGCTGGGGTGGTTTTGGGCAGTAAAAACACTAATTCATGTAGGTTAACCATTATTTAATTTGAAAAAAATGAAAAAAAGTAAGACTGCTGCAAACTGCTTACTGACTGGATGGACCTGAAATATATAAATCTTTATTTAATTTGTGAGGTTACATAAGAATCGTGTAGCAATTGCACACAGATTAACAAAAACAATTTCAAATGCTTTCGGCCGACTGTGTATAGTAATAGACACTGCCATACCTGCGTTACTTGCTCTCAGGACTAAACTCGGGCAGACAGAATTTACATGTTCTGGCCAAATAACAACCTAATAAAGCGCATACACTACCTGTAATCAAAGACCTACTACACCCATCCCTTCCCAAAACCACAATATCCCGAAAGCCAGGTAAACCACTCATCTCTCCATATCACTAGGGAAAAAAGGCCCCCCAGGCTGACAAAGAAAAGAGAGAGAAATTCATCCAGAAAAAAAAAAGCTTTAAAAAACGGAGGAAAATAGAAGCCGATCCATACTCCGCTAGACATTCTGGAGACTACTTTCAATCGATATGCGACTGGAAAACGTTAGCGCGGCTTCCTTCCCTCCCTTAGGCCGGCCCGGATATTTGAGAACAGAAATGGCCATTTTTTCCCCGCTCTCTCTTTTTTTTTATGAGCAAGAAGAAAATACTGGTGATACCTGAGAGAAGAAAAGAGCCATCTGAGAACAAGGGGATTCAGGTGGAGCCAACCCGATGGGCGAAAAGCGCAAAACAATCTCGGCAATTTTGCTCGATATTACATTTTGTCACACACGGCTGGTGTATTTTTAGAAGTTAATAAAAAGCTAAAATGGAAGTACATACCGGTACGTAGGTAGAAAGCTTACAGCTACTGGCTTATCAGTATTCAACTTCCATGGGCATTTTTAGAAGCAGTTTCTTTGAAATTAAAGATGTACAGTTGAACACCTTTATAACAAGGTCCTTGGGACTTTACAAATTACCTTGTTATAACAGGTACATGTACCGGTACCTTGAAGTTGTATTATCAGTAATGGAAAACAAAGAAAAACAAAGACTTGGGCCTTACATTTTCCTAAAAGCAGGATGTTATATTAACAGTGCTCTTTTTATCAGGGTTTGATTGTAAGTTTATGCCCAGTCTGGTGTAAACTCAATTAGTTGTGTACTTCTTTTAAACTTGAACTAAAAAGAACAAACAAAATTTAAAAATTCTGAATCATTGTGCCCTTTCAATGGTACACAACTGCACATTTTATTTTTAAATTGTTTTCATTGTACAGTACCGGTACATTTTAATGCCTTATAATGTTGGTGACTTAATACATTGTATCATTTGTGGTTATTTATAGGTCCCTTAATCTCTTAATTAAATAGCTTACATGTTATCTCTTCTGGATGATACAAGGATATTAAACACAGATAAGCGTTTAATGTCTTGTGAAACTTTGTGTTATCTCAACCATTCATTTCAAATCCTTTTTCTCATATCTGCGTTACATGTATTTGTTCATTCCAATTTGTAGGATGCATTTATAGACTGGTTCGAACATTAAGTTGAGACTGTTGAGTTGAAATTGAATAGAAAGTTAATGTGAAATTCTCAAATTATGGTCTCTTCTAGGACTTTCAGACTACATGTAGATGTGAATTACCTGTGGTAAATGCAATCTCAATCTTTACAAATTATTTAAAGATTTACACAACTTTTCTATTTCTAATTGTTTTTGTTTTATTGTTTTCTTCCAACACAGGCTGCTCTTCTGGACAGACTGGGGCGAAATTCCCAAGATAGAGCGTGCCGGCATGGATGGTTCCGAAAATTACCGGATGGTCATTATCGACACAAATATCTTTTGGCCGAACGGCCTAACATTAGACTACGATGCGTCCAAGCTATACTGGGCGGACGCCAAATACAGCTACATCCACAGGTGCGACTTTGACGGCGGCAATCGCGAGCAGGTCCTCCAAGGGTCGTTGCCGCATCCGTTCGCGCTGACACTGTTTGAGGATACGCTGTATTGGACAGATTGGGAGACGCACTCGATACACGCTTGTGATAAAATAGACGGCGGGAACTTGCGGGTTGTGCATGAGGACTTGTTCTCACCGATGGATATACACAGTTTTTCAGCCTTAAGGCAAAAGGAAGGTTGGTGTTCGGATGTTGGAATGATTTTTTTTCCCCTGGTGGAAAGAGTAGAAATTGGAAAATTTGTGACATAAAGTCAGGTGTATTTGTTTGCCAGGGAAAGAGTTAATCGTGGCAGCCTGTTCTTTTCAGGCACATATTTGCTGCGACTGGACCCTGAAGGCAAAAGTATGGAACTGTATGGAGCATGTCACACTTGTGGTCACTTGATAGTGTACCAAGTTTTGGAAAACTGTTCTATTCAGCAAGTTAGTTTATTGTTCCCCATCACGGAACATAGAACATGCATCTTTTGCAATTCTCTTGTTGATACATGCAAGGCCAAAAAAAAAAAGTCTCCGGTTTCTGGTATGCGCGCGCGTCGCCGTAGCCATGCGCGTCGGCAAAATGAAAAAGGTTTTTTTTCCAATGAAATATGATGTCTCAAAACCGCCAAATTCACTGGTTTGACTGGAATCCTGCTGCTGCACAATTTTAATGTGTTTTTAGATGGGGTTATGATCGAGAATAAGCTTTATGTGGCTTCTCTGGACTCCCATGTATTTGCACTAAGTCTAGTCGGGCACCATTTGCAGTCATCAGCCGACATTTGAGGCAAAAAAAATCAGGTAAAAAAAATAAAAAGTCGCGTCACTGCACCACTTTTTGGGCAAGCTCCATACCAGAAACCGGAGACTTAATTTTTTTTGGCCTAATATCAAGTTGGCTTTTTGTCATGTTTTCGGTTTAAAGGAGACATGCAAATTGCAACTAACATCTTCACTTTTTTCAGTTTCAAGACCTTGCGCGGTGAATAACGGGGGTTGTTCCCATCTTTGCCTGATGTCGCCTGACCCTCCTTACTACGCCTGTGCTTGCCCTACTGGGGTACGGTTACAGTCCGACGGTTACACCTGCGCTGACGGTAGGTTGAATGCGTGAAATTTTGCATTTTATAACTATTAGCAAGCTGAAGAGAAAAGGGTTTTCAAGTGGTTTTGTTTGTTTGTTTGTACCGGTACTTTCCCCCATCTTCTGTATTTAAGTTGAAACAAATTAACAATGTTAAAGGAAATTAAAATCGCAAAGAACGTCTTGGGAATCTTGCATTGCAATAGGGCGTGACGTACTATGCAGATTTGCAGAATAACAGAGCATGCGCCGTCGTGGAAAAAAAATAGCTGTTCTGAAAACCGTTAGTAAGGTGACTTACATGTTTACAACGTACCGGTAGATGTGCATTTGATAATGCTTGGAAAACTGCGGCAGTATGTACAGAAACCAGACTTGCTAATAAAGGCCACACAACTCTGCTCGGAATTTCCAAGCAGAAATACAAGATTCCCAAGACGTCCTTTACGGCTTGTAAGCATGTGTGCAGCGCCCACTTCAGTGTATTGCTGCACTGTCCAATAACCTGTGCATGCTGTACCATCCCACCACTAAGGACTGAGGACTGTACACTAGGACTATATTTGATAACTCTGACCAGAGTGTGTTTTATGCAGGACTCTGCCTAACATCTGTAGAACATTATATTCTCCAACACATCAGGTGAAATTTCAGGGCCAGAATTTACCCACCAAGGTTTTTTTGTCCAGCCATCAAGAATGCCAAAATTGGCCTGACACTTTCATGGCCGTATTATCTGTCACATGTGGTGCAGAGGGGAATGCTGCGTTGAGTGATTGATGGAACGGCCATATTGCAGCATGAGGCACATTATTTTTTTGTCTGTGTAATAAAAACAGCCAATGTTGACAGAACCTGAGGTGGCTGTGAATTTAAGAGGAAAAAATGTACATGTAATAACAGATCTTATTCTTTTCTTTGAATGAAATCTAAATTCCAACTGGTGATGTGGTCCATTACCCTAAATACTGCACATTAAAGAAAAAAAAAGACGTGAACCCATTGTGTTAAATTGAAATATTACATTTTCAATACTCAAACATTTTCAAAGAAATTATGTGAACCCCATTGGAAAATGTAATCCAGTTTCTTTGCAACAAACATCAACATTTCACACATTAACCATTTGAAAGTAATGCAGTTACCCCTGTGTGGATTACAGACATTTATCAAAAAGAAACATCTAGATTTCCAGCGCTTCTTCACTGCTCATTATGTAGCAATTTTCCCAAATTGTACAAAAACGTTTTGGTAGTTGTTTTTTTTTCTTATTGATGATTGATTTAAAATATTCTGGGAGCTTTGCAAACAGTTACCCGGAGTTACTTTTCAAAACAATCAGAGACATTATTACACACCTCGCTATTTTTTTCTGAAGCCTTTCAAAACCATCTCCACATATTTCATGTCCACTTTGGCATTTGAATTAGCCAATTTGATGAAGCAGTTATTATTTATGACATGTTGTTTGCTGCCTATCAGACCTTCTACTGTACTGTTTAGTGCCCACAACTCCTGGCATCTGTAACATGTTGAACGTGTGCAAATCTTTCAGGACGGGCAAATTCGGAAGAAAGATCAGGCGGAGGTGACAGAAACACAGACCTGAAGAAAATAAAAGAGAAGAAAAAAAAAACACATGGAGCCAGTCTTGACAGGATTGTGGGAATATTAACTGTCAAGTCTGTTTGGATATGGATTTGTTTGGCTGAGAGAACCGTATTGGGCATTATGGCTGGCTGGATGGCATCATAAATCATTGATGGGTTTGGAGTGAGGCCAGACAAATATGAAGTCTTGTTTGGTGTCAACACCTGCTCACATTGAACCTGTTACAATCTGATCTAACTATAGGCCTAAATCCACTGATTTAATGATCTTTGTAATGTTTTTGCTACAAGTTTGTTTTGAACAAAATCAGCATTTTTTTCTGTGTGCTTGCTCCAACAACTTGCAAAGTCAGGAATTACAGTCGACTTTCCTATAAAGTTCAAACACTTTTAATACATATTCTGGTTATAACAAACAGGTGGGTCATTCTATAAATTTGGGGTCCAAAGTGTGACATTTTTCCCGTCCCTGTTACCTTGGTACTTTGTAATTTGCCATTCAAGCATCATTAAAAGTGACTTCAAATGATTGTTTATTTGTTGGGTAGGTAGTTTGCTATTCATAATCACTCTTGGAGGATGACTGCATTAAGGAGTGCATCAGAATTATACAATCATAGATGTCAGATGTAACAGGGACGGGGAAAAAATTGGACCCCAAATTGATAGAATGACCCAGAAAGGCTTGGTCCCGACTGAGCATTTATGTGCACAATGAATGGGACTATGCTCCTCTTAACACAAAATTCTGATACAACAAACATTTGCCGAGTTTGTACTAACGAGAGTCAACTGTACATACATGTTCTGGAGAGTTCTACATAAACATTAATTACTGAGTCAACGATCTAAACGAGAAGCCATTTTTGAGATGGAACCACTAGCTTTCGCGTGCATGTTGCACACATTCTTACATAATAAATACAAGGTGTGCGCATATTTTGGTAACCCTTTTGGTCGAAGGAGCCCAGAGTGCATGCGCACTACCTGAGCACTACTCACGCTAGCCTGGTGCTACCTTAGGAAATAGCTGTCGTCGAATTACATGAAGTCTATACTTACGGTGATCTATCAGCATAATTACCAGAAATACCGGTACATGTATGATGACTTCTTCCAATTGAATCTGCACCGAGACAAAAAAAGTGCTGTTGTGTTGTCACTTTTTTAACAATCCTGAACTTGACCCAAGACTTTTTACCTGCCTTGGCCACATCCACCCAACCTTTGATCCCATAGCATAAAGTGTGAGTACAGTGTCTGCAAAGAGCCAACCCTCCCCCCCCCCTTTTTTTTTCTCTCTTTGCATTGACATGCATGTGAGTGGGGCAACACCATTAATCGTTGTCAGTCTGTCGTCGCCCAATGCAATGTGTGAATGTGGCTGATTTATTTGTGGGGAGGACTCTGATCAGACCCAGGCTGTGTGTGGGAAAAACCAAGTGGAAATAATTGGAAGGTGTGATGCAGGTTCTTCAAGATGGTGGTGGATTCTTGAGAAAGTGAAAATCACCAAAATCCTCCTACTGGAAGCCATACAATTTTTAAGAAAATGAACGAGAAGTTAAACTTGGGGCCAACCCTGCAAAGATGCATGGCTGCCTCTTTCTAAGTTTCTAGTGTCACTGTTAAACATACCTGTACATGCATGTACCATACACTGTAAACATGTTTACAGTGTACAGAACTACTGTGTTAACTGGGTACTTCCACATGTACCGGTACATGTTCTTGTGCATATGTATGTGTACAGGTACATGTACATGTACAGTGTGTATACCCCTGGAGGACCAGACCTGTAAGAATACATATTTACCGTACATGTACATGTACTTGTACATGTACATGTACATGTGTACAAGGACTGGTACATGTGTATGTATACATGTACATGTACAATGTACAGGTACATATACTCTATACACACAAACCGGGAATTCATGCACAATGAATGTTGGCATGCACATGTGTACAATTACGATGTGTTGTTCAAGGATTCAGGGAGGTTCTTAGTACACATGTATGCATGGATTTTGATTATGTCTTTATCTGCGTTGCTGTCACAGGGGTGTGAAATCTCAGCTTTAAATCTGATTTCAGCTTCTTCTTCTTCTTTTTTGGATGGTTTTCCCTCACTTGCTGTGTGCAAAAGTATAGGAGATTTCCAAAGTTCAGCCTTTTAAATCCTTTTTTCAGCTCTTTTTATCAGTGGTCACTCACACCCCTGCTGTATGCCAAACCTTAGAAGGCCCCTCTAGGCATACCCCCATCCCACTATTTCCGGAATCCCTCATTCACATGTACTATATGGTTAGATATACAATATAATCAGTCCAGATCATGTGGAATCATTGAACTCAAAGACATTCATCAGAGAACTCCTTGCAGTGCCCCCCAACTACCACCCCACCATCAGCACACATCTGTGGTCGTTTACCATTCAGAGCCCAAAGATCAGTGAATTGATGTATGAGACTCCAGAGACCCACACCCTGTCTGGTGTGAGAATGTTTAAAGAGGCTTTCCTACATCACACAGGCGAGTTGGGTTAGCCTTGACCAAGACTGTTGGTTAGGTCTACAAACCTCATATAAAGTACACACATACATGTACATGGCGCACATGTGTACAATTGTACATGTATGTTCATGTAAATTGTACCTGTAGAGCCCTATAGGCTACGCACATACCGGTACGTGCTGCCAGTATTACATGCACATTGTATTGTACAATGTGCATTTTGTTTGTGTACCGATAGGCTAAATGTACATGCACATGTAGACACCCTTTGAAATCCAACAATAACAAATGGAGGCAAAGTTATTACTGTTTATGAAGTAGCCCTCCCCCTGCCAAAGAGGCATTGAACAGTGATAGAATGCTTGTTGGTTGTGTGAGGTCATGCATCAAGCAAATGAGTCAAAATGCATACAACATGTACATGTACCGGAAAACCATACGGTACATGTACAAAACTGGATGGAAAATTAAAAACACATTGACGCCGGAAATTTTTGTGCTGCTTGACGTGCAGTGTTATGGACATCATTCATAGGGAACACTATAGTCTAGCAAAGTGGCGCGCATGCGTCATGGTTGTTCAGTGAATCCATTGATATTGTTACATGGTGGCAGCGGTGGGATTCAGACCTACATGTGTACATGTACGCCATCAAAAAGCAGCAGTGTAGGGTAACAGTTTGTCTGCGTATATAGCCAGTGTCTAGGGGTGTGCATCGGAAACGTGTACCCAACTGCTGATGTCAGGACCCAGTTCCAGATAAGGTATCGGGTACCCATTACAAACTTTACAAATAACTAAGTTAACTTCTCAGACAATGAAACTGAAAGGTTGGAATGCCATTTGTGGAGAATTTTCAAAGTGAATGCCAGGCTACATGGAAAACCAAAACAAATTACATGCATTTTAACGTGCAACAGATGACGCTCACGAAAGTTGTAGTTAATAACACGTGCAACAGATAACGCTCACGAAAGTTGTAGTTTATAATGGAAAGGTATAAAGCCCTCAGACAGCTTTCAGAATTTATATTTTGGGGTTGGGTATCTTACCCGTGTTGTACTTCAATAGGGTACCTGGTTCCCGCACTACCCATAAATGCACACCACAACCTGTGTCTGAAATACAGCTTGTATCTGGTTCCCAACCAAATTTGTTGAGGGGGCTATACAATAAATTTCCTGATTTGTTCTGCTAAACAACTGTCTGAAGTTTGGCCCAGTCCTGCCCCTTTAAGAATGAGCAAACTTCATGACATGTCACTCTTCGCGTGCAATTATTGATATTCAAAGCCGCAACCAGCGAGCCAGCCAGGCACATGGCAGTCGTGCATGACTGCTCAGTGACTATTCACTTTATCCAAACACTAGAGTGCATCATACACCTATAATGATCATTTTTTGATGCATACTTCTTTCATCAACTACTGTACTAATGGTACAACAGTCTGGTTTCCATTAGAGTGATATGAACAAATGGATACTGCTGTCAGTAGTATATTTACCGGTATACATGCAATAGATTGTTATTTTAATTGTAAGATAAGAAATGCTTACATTGAAAAATGATTACATGTACATTGTACAATGTACATGTGTGCCAACATGCCAACATTTTTGATGATGACACAACAGACCAAGCGTTATGCTTTAATTAAATATACAGCCTGGATCTGTTTAACCCATTAACACCTGTGCTACATATCATTACATTGTGTGTATTCACTGAAGAAGAAAAAGAAAACAGAGACTAGTGCTTGGGCGGTTTTGGGTGCAACAGTGAGTAATGGGCAGGACGGTTCCGGGCGCTACAGTGACAAAAGGGTTAAAGGGAATGTACAACATTTGCTTTTGCTGCAATTTTCAGATGTATATGGATTTGGAGGATTAGTATGTTATAGCAAATATTGTTAAACTGACTTGTTTCACGTTTTGGGTTCGCAGATGCTGGAAAAAAAACAAGAAAACCAATCATATTCTTGTAGTCTGGTTCCCTGACCCCACTTAATATGAAACGGAGCAATTGATAGCCTTTTAGGAATTGTAAGATCAGAGAATCAGTCTAGCAGGGTCGTAGTCTTCACAGGTGTGTAATCAATTGCAAAGAAAAAGCAGACGAACAAAATATAAAAAAGTAGGAGCACTTTTGGGAAAAAAGCCATTTTTTTCCAACGCTGGTCGGCCGACCAGCGTTGGAAAAATACAGTCTTTCTTGAAAATGTCAGCAAACCAGGAGCCCCAACTTTACAGGATGCTTTGGACTGTCTTTCCTAACAATCCAGTAAGATATTTTGTGATAAATTGATAATTTCTTTTTTTGATGTTTGCAAATGTTGTATCTTCCCTTTAACTGCCTCACTTGAAACGGTACATGCACAAGTATACATGTACATACCGGTACATGTAGATCCTGATAAAATGGGCCATGTTTAGGGCATCCCCTTTGTTACGAATTGCACTGCGAGTCCTAAGAAATAAAACGTGAGTAGCAGAGTTCACTATAACCTAACGGCCAATTTCACGGAACTGATCAGCACAGAAACTTGCTAAGACAAAATATTTCCTTTTATGATTCCTTAGCCAGAATGCCATATTGTGCGTCTTTTCAGCATGTGCGACTAGTCGACTAGTCGCCAATGCTAAAAGGCATTGGTAAGTCACGACTGCCAATTGTTTAGTCAGTCAACTATAGTCGTTCCACTATGCTGGGGCTAGCAGTTGCACTACACAGTCACGAACGGTGCATACATGTATGTACATGTACATGCACGTCGTCGAGTTTGTCGATGTACCGTAAGCATACTGGTACATGTAATTATAGATATGATCACTGAATTGTTGGGCAAACAGATTTTTGTTCAAAACTGCCTAATAAGCCGTTCAAACTTAAGGTATAAACGTGGTAAAACTTTACCCACACAAAACTGGATAAGTGTGACATCGTTCCAAATTGTTATTGCACATGCGCAGATCCATATGCTACATTGCTCCATTGACTAGAGGTATTACTGGATAAATAAATAATGTGTTAATAGCCTGATTAGTCAACTAGTCACAACTTGTTATCACACGACTAGTCGACTATACAAGTTAACCAGTCGCGCATGCCTAGTGTCTTCCTTATGGCTGGTTTTCAGCTGATTGTTTCTCTACTTGGCCAATTTTTTTTTAACGAGCCAGGTACAAGTATGTTGAGGTCTTCATGCTCACTATTATTTTGTGTGTGTGGACACCACCTCAGGTGCTCAAGAAATCCTGATCCTAGCCCGCCGCAGAGACATTCGCAAGATCTCGCTAGACACACCGGACTACACGGATATCATCGTACCACTGGATGATATCCAACACGCTGTGGCTATCGACTATGATCCGGTCGAAGGCTTTATCTACTGGACCGATAATGATGTCAAGGCAATCAGGAGAGCAAAACTGGACGGTTCAGGTAAAGATGGGCTGGATTATTTATAGAATTTCATCGTAGGAACCATCTTAACTGCATATCTTAACTGAACAACTTTGCAACGAAAAAATAACATGTACATAAATTAACGAGATGCGTTTTACCTTGTCCATTATAAGATGGAATTTGTGCGCCGGGGTGATATAAATCAAATTAGGTTTTGCCCTTCACCGACGTTTGTTTTTTTTTGGTTTTTTTAAACACTGTATACTCAGTGTGTTACCTCCCGAGTGAAAGTTGGAAAAAATCACTCGGGTGGGACTCGAACCCACGACCTCCTGCTTTCTAGTGCAGATGTCTTACCACTCGACCACCGAGCTAACGGGATCGGTTGGCCGGTTCGAATCTGATGTACATAGCAGCAGGTACCGCATAAACTATTATAAGATGGAATTTTTGCGCCGGGGTGATATAAATCAAATTAGGTTTTGCCCTTCACCGACGTTTTTTTGTTTTTTTTACCTTGTCCAGTTTTTGAAACTTTTGTTAAATACTCATAAAAGACAGCAAGAGACATTCTGTACTAAGTGAGTATTTTGTGGAATTCTACATCAAAGAAATTGTTACCTTGCCAGAGAAATTGCCGCGGAATGTTGTCATTCATGTTTTATGTTCTCTTCTTGTTTTATCACACAGCGAGTGAGTACATCGTAACATCAGACATTGACCATTCAGAGGGTATCGCCATCGACTGGATCGCACGTAACCTGTACTGGACAGTGACTGGCACCGACAGGATTGAAGTGTCCCGACTGAATGGAACATCCAGGAAGGTTTTGATCTCGGAAGGGCTAGACGAGCCAAGAGCGATTGCAGTTGATCCTTTGGCAGGGTAAGTAAATAAATCTATAACGTGAACCCTTCTGCTGTCTGAACAGTCAAAGACAGTCAATCGTATGCTTGTGCCATGCCTTTATATACAGGCTAGTCACCACCAGTCAGATCACGTTTTGATAGAGCACTGTGACAAGTCAAATGCCATTAGCAGGAAAAACATACATTTAGTATTACATGTAGCTAGTAGATACCGGTACAGCTGGTTTTAATGTCAGTCACCCAGTAGATAAAGAATATGTATACAAGTAGCTGAATCAAGCTACCAATACATGTACATAAACAGTCATAGCTAGTCAGCCATAGTTTAAGTAGGCAGATAGCACTTGACTTTTAAAAATGGTCACTTGATTTTGGCTGCTGGGATGGATTTGGTGAATTTGCCAGCAAGAGAAGAGGTTCCGGTACATTATTAAGTTGAATTTAATTTGATAACTACATGTAGCTTAACTCATGTTTAGTTCCTGTACTTCCCCAAACATTCCTGTTAAGTCTTTTCCACCTAAAACAGTCCAAGCGTTGTATGGTTTAATGGATTCATCAGGGAATAAATACAATGTCATACAGTATCATAGAATGTGATACATTGTCATACAGTGTCATACAGTATCATACAATGTCATGCAATGTGATACATTGTCATACAGTGTCATACAGTATCATACAATGTCATGCAATGTCATGCAATGTCATACAATGTCATGCAATGTCATACAATGTCATGCAATGTCATACAATGTCATGCAATGTCATACAATGTCATGCAATGTCATACAATGTCATGCAATGTCATGCAATGTCATACAATGTCATGTAGTGTCATACAATGTCAAACAGTGCCAAACAATGTCTAATGATTTAATACACCTGTTTGATGTCCAACAGGTTGATGTACTGGAGTGACTGGGGTGAAACTCCCAAGATCGAGAGAGCCAGCTTAGACGGCACCGGTCGCTCGGTCCTCATCAATACCTCCATCAGTTGGCCCAACGGTATCGCCATCGACCACGAGGGGGGCAAGATCTACTGGGGCGACGGTAAAGAGGACAGAATCGAGGTTGTGGACATGGACGGACGGAATCGAAGGGTCCTGGTGGATAATGAGATACCGCATATATTCGGCTTCAGTCTCCTAGGTGAGTTCAGGATTAATTCTGTCCGAGCACAAGCTAGAGATCCTTTACTGGCTTTGTGCGGTAACTGTTGTGGGTTAGTGCTGAAAACAGTGCATATGTTTGACTGTAGTTTGCTAGATGAGTTAAATTCTATCGGGTACTAACATGACTCAAAGTATCTAGACTTATAAAACAAAATTCCCTAGGTCATCAATCCAATAGCACCTGCACTGCCCTAAACTGCCTTGCCTTTTTCCTCCTGTATTGACCAAAACCTGCCCAGGCTCTCTATGGTTTCATGAGTTTTACAGGGTATAAATACAATGTAACACAATGTAGGAAAGGTGCTAATAGGTTGATCAGCTTGGATCCCATGCTGCAAGGGGCTTGGGCTCTACACAAGGCTTTAGTGACGTTTTGAGGCATGCAGGTCAAATCCCTTCAAGTCTGGCAATCGCAAACAGCATACAGAGTATTTGACCAATTTTGTATGTTTGTTCTCTCAGGTGACTTCATTTACTGGACTGATTGGCAGCGGAGGACCATTGAGCGAGTCAACAAACACACGGGAGAGGACCGACAGATGATTATGGAGACATCGGATGTTATGGGTTTGACAGCAAGCAGTGTCAGAGGAATACGAGGTATTCACAGCTAGTCAGTCAATCAATCAATTGATCAAGTAATCAATCGATCGGCCATTCCTTTTGTTTACACTTTTGTGTTTGCTTTTCACTTGGCATTAAATCCCATGTCAAGTGATAGTGGGTAGGCTGTGCCATCCTAAATCCAACGAAATCCTATCAGAATCCTTGGTGGTATCTAATTTAAGTTTGAAGAATGTAAGATGTTTGGGTTTAACAGTGAGCTTCTTTGAAATGTATCTATCAAATTTTCAGCCCTTAAAAGCTGAATCTCAATTGTTGAATCCCGATAATTAGGTGGTTGATATAGCATTTTATGCCAATGTCTCAATGGTCTTCTCACTAATCACCCCTGTTTGTCAGGCCATGAGACCAGTTTTACGCAGCGGCTTGAGTTAAGCACAATCTGGTCATATCGTCACAGGTATCCACAGGCGATTGTTGTAAAGTGTCTTTCCCAAGAACACCTACACTTTGTGCCAGTCAGGGCTCAAAACCCATGCACCTGTTAAACAAGTCGGACACCTGAACCATTAAACCTCTGTACTTCACACATACTCATTTAATATACTCCCTGGTGGATAGAGCCTATCGTAGACGGTAGTAAAGTGTCTTGCCCAAGAACACAGACACTATTTTCCCATGCACTGTCAGACACTGTAACATTTAGACCTTTACACTCAACACAAAATGTAAGGAATTTTAATAGCAAAATTTAAATCAAGAAATTGATCAGCAGTTACCGTTATTCCTGTTATACCAAATCATTCCTTATTCACTGGTCCCCTATGCATTTCTTGTTTCCTGTCGACCAGGTCACAACCCTTGCGGTGACAACAACGGCGGCTGTTCCCACCTCTGTTTCTACCTCCCTCCGGGCAACACCTGCTCCTGTCCAATCGGCTACGAGCTTCTGGCTGACCAGCGCACCTGCATCGTCCCCGAGGCCTTCCTGCTGTTCTCATTGGCTAGCGACATCCGACGGATATCACTAGAGACCAATCACAATGATGTTGAGATACCGCTGACCGGGGTGAAAGAAGCAGGGGCGTTGGATTTTGACATCAATGATAACAGGATATACTGGAGTGATATCGATGCAAAGGTTGGTTTGTAGTAATTCTCCATTTTATTTTTGAAATTAACAAACAAAATCCAATAGACCAAGGAAGGGCTATGTAACGATGCCATTTGGTAGTGCAACCAGACGTGAATCTCAAGTTATTGATGTAATTTAAATGTTGCCTCAATCGAAAAATTGCAATTTTACAATCTTTAACCCTGACTCCCTAGGCATTTTTGTTAGGATGTATTGTAACCTCAATCCTGCAAAATCCTCCAACTGCCTTCATGTTTAATTGTATTCAGCCTCAATCCTGCATAATCCTCCGTTATTTCTTGAATATGGTTCTTGGAGGGGTGACCACTGCCTCAATCCTGCAAAATCCTGCAGTGCTGTTAATATCTTGAGGCAGAGCCAGTGATATCATGGAGCAGTGCGGAAGATTTCAAGTATAATTTAGGCCTAAATTTATGCATGGCTGAGCATAAACAACACAAGGTCCGGCCCAAGACCTTGACACAGCCTCAATCCTGCAAAATCCTTCGTTTTGCAAAGATGATTTCGGAGGACTTGGGAAGGTTAGGATTATTAGATTGAATGAAGTACAAAAACATTTCATACAAAGTAAGAGTTCCTTCGACTTGTATGGATTATTACTTAATATTGGTGCCATGGTCATTCCATCGTTGATTGTTGATGACCATTTCTACTTTGAAAATGTACAAATTATTTGCAATGTGATTAGCATGTTTTGATCTGATGCAAGTTGGGTAGGGAATGTATCTGCACAACAGATTATGTGTACCAGCATGTGAAATTTGGCCCAGAACATTTTATTCAAAGTAAGAGTTCCTCCGACTTGTATGGATTATTACTTAATATTGGTAACGTGGTCATTCCAACGTTGGTTGTTGATGACCATTTCTACTTTAAAAATGTACAAATTATGTGCAATGTGATTAGCATGTTTTGATCTGATGCAAGTTGGGTAGGGAATGTATCTGCACAACAGATTATGTGTACCAGCACATGCACAAGATGTGAAGAGACGTCATCAGTAAACATGTATCAATTAATTAATCTTTTTTTTTTCTTAAGACAATAAGTCGAGCCTTCCTGAATGGCAGCGGTGTCGAGAACGTCATTGAGTTTGGTCTGAGTTTCCCAGAAGGCATGGCCATCGACTGGGTTGCGCACAACATCTACTTCTCTGACACGGGAACGGACCGCATCGAGGTGGCGCGGCTAGATGGTTCAGCCAGACGAGTGTTAGTGTGGGAGCGAGTACAGTCTCCACGATCCATAGCATTGCACCCATCAGAAGGGTAGGTACCAGACCATGTTTGTTTCTACCAAGGCTGTGGGTGAAATTGGCTTCTAGAGCTATGGCTACAGATATTGTCAGCATGTTCCTATGAACCCATAGTTGTAAAAAACCTAGACAGTAGCTTTAGACAACGGATGCACGCACTGCCTTAGAGCAGTGAGTGGTTTCATGTATTATTGATAATGGTGAAAGGCAAATTCCATTGTTACAAAATGACACCACCAGGACAAACAATTCCATTACACAAGATTTTGACAATTTCTGTTTTGTAAATTGTTTGACAACTGTTTATTATTGCTTTCTATTTTTTCTTGAAATCCTGTTTGACACAGACATCTTTGGAATTTTCATACTCAGTGGAATAATGTACGCATACCACATTTCCCCACACATTGAGAGGAGTTATAATCCTGCTTCAAAGTTTGTAATTGATTGTATTCGACTTGGCAAAAGGGTTGTTTAAGTTCGACAGGCATGCAACTTTTCTTCTGATCTCTGATTTCCTCGCTTTTTACTTCACATGAATGCCACTACAAATGGTTTGGAATTTCCTATTTTTTCCCCTCTAAATTCCCAGTTGCATGCCTGGTTCTAGTCTCCACTATAAACTGCATTTTGGTATAATGTCTCATTATAGTGATAATTACAGCTTTCAATACCGCTGTTTACCACTGTTGTGTTTTGTGCTACCAGATGGTGCACTAATAAATAATCCTGAGACTTCAGCTTACAAACAAAGAAAATAAGTTATGTTTTAATTTCCCCCCGACAGCTACATGTACTGGTCAGATTTCAGTGGTCAGGCGCAGATAGAGCGTGCCTACATGGACGGCACACATCGCAGTGTCATTTATCGCGGTGGCCGTGCAAACGGCTTGACCATAGACTACCTAGAGAAGAGACTGTACTGGACTTCACTGGACACCAACACTATCGAGTCTGCGGATCTGATTGGTAAGTGTGATGCTAGTCTTTGCTCTATGAGACTGAAAGCCTGAATCTGATTTACTTGGCTGTGGCCTGACTTTCTAACATGGCTCTGTGGGATCATGCTCTAAAATCAAGTCTTGTTTTCTTATTTTTTAATTACTCCAAATGTTCTCAGTCTAACGAATTTCATATTCCACACGTACCTCATCACAAAAATTGCCAAATAACTTTATGAGTGCCTTTTTATATATTTAAAACTATTGACCTGCCAATGCAGGCCAGACAGAAAGAATGTTGCAACCTGGCGCTACTGCAACGGTTGTGTACAAAGTCTATGGAGAGTCAAGAAAATTTTCTAAGTACTTCCTAACAAAGTTGGAAATATTTCTTAGTCCCAGATTCATGGGTCATATCATTTTTGCATTGACTGACCTTCATTGAGATGATATACGAAGAAAAAAAAACAGCGTCGGGTTGCAACATTCTTTCCGGCCAGACACCAGCCTTCTGACAAGAACCGCATGTTGTGTAATAAAATCCTCATGCATTTAGTGAGTCTAGCCGGCCTCGCCACTGGGCATGGATAATCCATCGTCATGTCAACAAGACTGGTCAGCAAGCTAAAATAACGGCCGGTTGCCTAAATTTGATGTCTATACAACCTAATTTGTGAGGCAGAAGAATTTGTACCTTAAGAAAAATCCAATGATTCCTTCTCTTCTCAGGTGGTAATAGACGTCGCGTCATTCCTGATGATCTCCCCCACCCCTTTGGTCTGACACAGTACGAGGATTACATCTACTGGGCTGATTGGAACACGCAGAGCATCGAGAGAGCCAATAAGACTAATGGTCAGAACCGGACGCTCATCCAAGACGGCCTGGAATATGTCTTGGACATTCTTGTCTTCCACTCTTCAAGACAATCAGGTAAGGATGTACAGGTTTTCCTTTATATCTGCGGACTTGAGACAATGGGTGACGTGAGATAACAGAGGACATGAGCCCTAGTCCTCGGTTCTGTTTGTGAAACAAACCTTATGGCATGTATGGGACATGTCAAAGTCCAAACAGGAAACAAAACAATTGAACAGTACAAGGCTTGGCCGGTAATAGATTTTGAGTGTCCACGGTATACCGCCACAAAACACACCGCGGTATTCGGTATTATCGGTTACTTTTCTGGGTGAACTTTTACATCAACAAATTACACATGTAAGATACGTGGTGTTAAGAAACTGCAAACAGGCAGCATGGGCAGAACTTCAAAGGCCCTGCTGGATGAGTAGTAAGCACAATTTTCACCTTATCTAAATCATCATGACCACACAGAATTTTAATAAACAGTTATCCATATTGTGCAAACTATTTATAAGATGGATTGTGCATGATATGGCCTAACACTGAATTGATGAATGGATTCATCAGGAATTTAATACAATGTAATACAATGTTATACAGTGTAATACAGTATTAAACAATGCAATACAGGGTTCTCCCCAGGATTTTTTCAAACCTGTGGGGGAAGTTTTGTTGTGATTCACCAACCTGCGAAGCCACGGTGTGGGGTTCGGGGCCCGCTTAAGGGCCCCGAAAAATTTTGAACTTTAGAGGCTCTCTGGTGCATTTTAGAGCAAATCTGGGGAGTCTTTAAGGAAGATTTTTCCTTAAAATTTAGAGGAGATCTTGTGATATTTTTTGTAATTAGGGAAAAAAAATATCAACGTTTTTAACTTAAAAAAAAAAATCAACATTTCAAAACCTGTGTTAAACCTTCTTGATCTAGAAAGTATGGATTATATTTACAAGCAAGTTTCAAATTAAGAAATTAAGGTGAAGAAAAAAATCACTTTTGCTTCCGACTACATGGCTTTCAAAATAGCGTCGGTAGGTCGGAAAAATTATTTCGCCATTTTTTTGGGCTGCTGATTGAATCATGGAGGAATAAAAACACATGATTGAATGGAGCATATTGAACAAGGAATCATGTAGTTTTGTGCCTGGATTATTTTCCTTTGCACCACGAAAATTATCAAGACTGACCATCAGAAGTGATTAAAACTTGCCTCATCTAATTAAAAATATATTTGAGGAGGTTGATTCCACTATGCTTAACGTACATCGATCACGGCCCCTGGCACTGCCAACATTCAGTCTGGCCGGCCGTACATCGCGCAGTATCAGTGTGCATTACTGCACTGTGTACGGCCCTACTACTTCTAAGAAGCACGCTACGATGTTTCGCCACAAGTTCGAGCTTTGCAATCTCGTCATTTTAATGGAAAATACATACACAGAAAATAAAGATCACGTTCTGTGAATTAATTTGCAGAAATTCTCTTTCTCCATCGATGTTTGTTTGGTGTTTTTACGATCCAACTTCGGCCGACATCATCATCATGTATGCACGCACGAGGCAGTAGTCACTGGTTCCGGTCCTTCATCATAGCATTGATACTGTTAGCACGCGAAGGGAACCAGTGTACCGTGCTGTATGCGCTAATATATACATGTGTAGCTGGCGGTTGACGCGAAAGACCCGTCATCGTGTGCATTTTGATCACGCATGCATCAGAAATGCGGGATTTTTGTCAAGATTTTGCAGTCAAGATGAAATAATGGTGTATGAAACGATTATGTTGTGCATTTTAATGGCTTGTATAATAATTATATTGTGCGTATCGGGGGCTGAAAAATGTGATCGGCATTTTTGTCGGCGCATCGGGCCGCAATTCCAGCGTATCGGGCCGATACGCACGTTTGTACGTGGGGAGAACCCTGAATGCAATACTAGTGCTAACAGGTTAAGTAAACTTTAACGTTCCATGTGATATGTTGTTTTCTTTGCTATAGGATGGAATGAGTGTGCAGTCAATAACGGAGGCTGCCAGTATCTCTGCCTGTCCCATCCCAACGATACCACAGGAGAATGGGATTACGTCTGTGAGTGTCCCACTCACTACACACTCAATGAAGACCAACGAACATGCACACGTAAGTCTCTTTATACATGTACTTTCAACATACAGTAGAATTTCACTATAATGAATAAATTGAGGTCTAGAAAAAAGGTTGAGTATAGTCATTGCTCATAACTGAGATTTTCTGACTATGCTTCAGTTTTCAGTTTTCCGACACAGATAAGACTGAATTATGATAAAGCATTTGATATTTGACCACATTTGTACCTAAGAAAAAAAACCGATGTTCTCAATTAAATTATGTACTGTACACATGGCACATATATGTTAAGGTCCAAAGTAGGAAACGATTTTGACAATTTCCACTTGATTATGTTAAAGGGACTTTGCAAGGTTTTTTTTTGTCTTGGTTAACGCTGTGAAATGTATATTTCCAATGGTGTTTCTGTTTTTGTTTTGTTTGTTGGTTTGTTTGTTTGTTTGTTTGGATTTTTATGGGGGGTTGGTTTTTGTTTTGTTTTGAGAGAGGGAAGCCTTAAGAAACAGAATTAAAGTGATCTTCATCTAGAGATGAATTTCAGTTTTCCCAAATGACAATCTATTTATTTCTTCACCCAACAGCGCCAGACACGTTCCTCCTGTTCTCCCAGAAGAACACCATCAGTCGCATGGCGGTGGACTACAAGGAGAGCCCAGATGTAGTCCTACCCATCTACAACCCCAAGAGGAACATCCGGGCCATTGAATATGACGCCGAGGAGAAGAGAGTGTACTGGATCAATGGACGGGCCAAGACTATACGCAGATCTTACGACAATGGTGTACAGGTACTGCTACGTTTGTTTTTGCTCCTCTTTTTGCAATTCCAGGCTTGGGAAAAATCGAAACTTTGTGGAACCAATTCCAATTCCATGTAGGCGTCAGGATTCCATTTAGGATCAACTCCAAATTTACCAAGTTTAATTTCAGATGGCTGGGCCAAAAACCATAATTACATATACAAACTGTTATAGCAAAATTTGCAAGTATCTTGACCGATCAACCACTGAGAAGCTCGTCCACGCGTTATATCACCTCGCGTTTAGACTAGCGTGACAGTTCATTTGGTTTGCCGAACTGCGATATCTCCAAACTGCAGCAAGTTCAAAATGCCGCCACCAGAATCGTTGGACAACATGAAAAAAAGCATCAACATATCACAGCCATCTTTCAGTGACTACACTGGCTACCAGTCCAGTCTGCAAGAGGATTGTGTTGAAGATTTTGTTACTCACAAGCAAAGCGCACCAAATAACGTTGCTGAATTATTGAGTGAATACAAGCTGAGTCGCTCGCTACGATCACAATTCCAATTCCAGATTTTAAATTGATACCATGCGATTTCAAATGAGTTGCCCAAGCTTAGCTTAGAATAAAACTCAATGTAGAGAAATAGTGTTGATATATCATGTCAGTTCAAACACTGGCACAATAGCTCACACAAAGACAAAGCACAGTCCAAATAACAAAGTACGTGTTAATAATCCTAATAATAATGTACACTTGTAGAGCTCTTTACATTAACCCTTACCCTACTTGACCCTCCAACGCATGCCAATTGTGCCTCAAGAAAATCTCCTATGTTTTTTGCATGGCCCTCCAATATCTGCCATGTCATTTCAAGGGTAACTGGACAGGCACTCCAATACTTGCCACAGAGAACAATGAGAGTCCTCTGATAACAAAGTGAGTGCCCCCAGCTGGTCAGTATCAGGCACCCTCCAGGGCCTCCAACTCCTGCCAATTGGAGCCTTCACTGTTAAGACTTGTTATCTGCCAAATAACTGCAGCTGGAGGGCATTGGCATAACCAACTGACATGCAGTAAACTACCCTCAGAGAGTAAGGGTTAACATTTCAATGCCCTTTACAACTAAGATAGTGTTATATAACTGGTGCATTACTGAATATAATGAAAATTTGCACTAAATAGCAATACTATAATACATAACATATGAAAAGTTACATTACATTACATTTATATTGTATTACAGTACAGTTTCATTACATTATTGGCATGCTTTCCACAGCCTGAAGTCTTCATCGACACCAGCGATCCCCCAGTCTACAACCCCTACGACATCACCATCGACCCCTACACGCGGATGATGTTCTGGACGTGCTCCGAGACCAACACGATACGCATCACCCGCCTGGATGGAACGTCAGTCGGTGTGGTCAAAGGGGACGATAATCAGAAACCACGTGCAATAGCGCTTCTACCAGAGAAAGGGTAAGATATCATCCATTTGAAAATCCCTTGGATAGTGTAAAGTAAGGCCTGTTCTAAATACCGTGCAATTGCCGTGCTGAACTCAAAATTCACTTCCACTTCCCCTGCTATACTTTTAACAAAGGCTAGTCACCAGCATGTCAGATCATATGTCAAGCAATCACTGTGACTAGTCAAACTGGGTCAATAGACATAGCAGGCAAGTTGTGGTCACAGCTGTTTTATCACTCACCCGGTCGTCGGGAGTCAAAACATAGCTGTAACAAGTTACTTTAAGCAGTCCAAGGCAGTCAATCCTGCTGTATGTGGGCTGGGAATTCTTACGGGTTGAAAACAGTCACTTGATCGATTTTGACTGCAAGGACAACTTGGCACAGAATCTATGTTTGCATAGGAGGGTTAACTTGACTATTGCTTGTACTAGTCTAAAACACTGACGTCATTGGGATAAAGCAAGAGAGTTTATGTTGGATTGTCACTATAACATTTATGAAACATGAAGCTTTAATAGGCTTCACCGTTCTCTAAAATATGACACTATTATTGCAGATTTCTGTTATTATTTGACCTGCCTATTACACCTTGCACTTTCTGTAGCATCCTCTGCACTCTATGGTTTTAGGGATTCTTCGGGAATAAATACAATGTAAGACAATGTTGTACACGTGCTAATAGGCTAATTAAACTTCTTGTTGCTTGTATTGACAGGCTTATGTTCTGGACCAACGTGGTCCGGACCCAGCACAAGATAGAGCGAGCGTCGTACGACGGCACGGAGCACACCGTCCTGTTCAGTGCTAACCTGGGCGAACTGGGACCCATGACTGCAGACCCTGCCAGCGAGATGCTATTCTGGGTCGACACGCTGCTGAAGAGAATCGAAAGCGCGCACATCTCCGGTGAGTCCTGACGAAGACTTGGTGATCAAATTCACTGCACTCTGTAAAACTCGCTGGTGGATGCTTGCATTGGCCACCACTCAGACCCACTGAACAAATTTTACTTCTAATACTTGAAAAGTTATTAAGTATTATGAAAGTAATTTTGCACTCCTAAAATAGTGTTTCTTATCAGATTTATAGGTTTTTGAACTTTTCAGGTCATATTGAGGAATATGAGTGGTGGCCTTGTATGGAAATCTTTCCCTTTCATTCTACTGACTGCTGTGAATGTTTTTAGTCCTGATATAAGTGGCCCATGCTTCTTTGGTTAAAACACATACAAGAATATAAGTGTATAAGATTGATCTTGAAGTATGTAACGTATGTTCTCTATTTTATGATGGAGTTTGTTTTTCCATCCAGGCGATAGAAATTTAAACCCAATGTGAAATTTACATCTCCCCGACCCCCCCCCCCCCAAACAATGTCCATTATAACAAAGTGATTGGTTGCAGTACCCACAGCTAATGTCAGATTTGAACTTGCCAGCCGACCTTGGCTGCACTTGTAAGCAAGAGATTTGAAGTTGAATTTGAAATGGTTTATTATACCATTCGACCGTAGCATCCAAAAGCTGAACTGCTGTCAAATTGCAATATATAATTATAAACATCAGAAAATTTGCACATACTTCAGAAAAGGACGTGACACTAACCCTAACAGAACTCAACCTATCAAACCCCAACAGCATGTTTTGTTGGAATCTGTCATGAAGGGTACAGTTCCCCTAAACCGACAGTCTCTTACATTGGGTTGGCACACCTCCAGAATCAAAGTCAGAAATATGTGTGTGCAGTTTCCCACATGATATTGGAATTTGCCAGGATGGGTATGGTTCCTAGTAAATCATGCAAGTTAGGGATAAAAAGCAGTGATAGGGGAGCTTTAAAAAAAAACCAGAATATTAACATTTATAACACCTCACCCACAGATTCTGTGTCTTGATTGGCCAAGAGCAAGTCACATGTTACTGTCTAATTTTGCTATTTTTCTGTGCACGGCCAAAAGTACTATGCGCATAGCAACCAAAGTACTATACCATTAGCAACCAAAGTACTATTTCCATGGCGCGGTATTTGTGTGCAAATGCATGCTGGTGTGCGCGTTGTGCGTAGCGCGTATCATTCCAAAGAGAGCGCGCCGCAGACTTGGGTTCAAACATTTCGTGAAGGGGGAGTTTTTAAGAGAGAAATACATTTTCCACCAATTTTGTATTGAAATTGAACTTTATTTCAACTGTGTTCAGATTTAAATAATGTGAAATATTAAAATTAAGCAGAATCTGTAGGTGAAGTGTTATAAAACAAATATTGAATGCTTTATCTCGTGGTGAAGTAAAACTAGCCTACCTCGGTGATCCATGGACCATTCTATTTTCCCTCAGCTTCGCCTCGGGAAAATAGAATGTCCATGGATCACCTCGGGAGGCTAGTTTTACTACACCACTCGAAGCATTCAATATTTGTATACTAACGTCAAATGATAAAATAATCAATTATGAGGTTCATATTGGAAAGTAGTAACAACACAATCTACACCTGTTGTTACTTTCCCCTTTTTAATTCCTTACTCCCCCTTCTGTTGTACCCCAGGTTCTGATCGCCGTACCCTCGTAGAGGACCACATTCTGCTCCCCGTGGGCATAGCGGTGCTAGGCGAGCACCTGTACTGGGTGGACAAACAGGCCGAGATCATCGCCAGAGTCAACAAGCACACAGGCAGTGGCTGGGTGCGGATCCAGGGAGAGACTAGTTATCTGACTGATATACAGGCTGTCGGAACTCCAATGCAAGGTAAACCCTAATTCTCTGAAAATGGACATAACTGTTTTCAACCAAAATCTGATGTAACTGCAAATCTTATTTTCCTTGCTTGGAAAATAGTCATCACAAGTCAGTCACAAGTCATCACAAATCATCAGAAAACATCAACAGGTTAAACACAAGTCATTAAAAGTCCATCACAAGTCATTATATGTCATAAGTCATCACTTGTCATCATCGGTCATCAAAAGTCACCATAAGTATTCATAAGTCATCAAAAGTCATCATAAGTGATCAAAAGTCACCATATGTCATCATAAGTCATCAAAAGTCATCATCGGTCATCAAAAGTCACCATAAGTCATCATTAGTCATCATAAGTCATCAAAAGTCATCCAAAGTCATCATAAGTCATCAACAGTCACCATAAGTCATCATAAGTCATCAACAGTCGCCATAAGTCATCAACAGTCGCCATAAGTCATCATAAGTCATCATAAGTCATCAAAAGTCATCATAAGTCATCAACAGTCATCAAAAGTCATCATAAGTCATCAAAAGTCATCATAAGTCTTCAAAAGTCCACCATAAGTCATCATAAGTCCATCACAAGTCAGTTGATACTCTATCACTAATTGGCACAAGTCATTACATGTCATAAGTCATCACAAGTCATCATAAGTCGTCATAAATCATCAGAAGTCAATCAATACTCTAACACTAATTGGCACAAGTCATCACATGTCATTATTTGTCATCACAGGTTACCACAAATCAATCAGTAGTCTGTCGATACACTGTCACTAATTGTCACTAGTCATCAATAGTCATCACAAGTCATTACAAGCCATCCCAAGACATAAGTTAATCACAAGTCCATCACACCCAGTTCTGCAGTCTTTTTACTTCATCAAAACTCAGAACTTTACACACCATTTTAACTCACAATGTGAAGCAAAGATTGCCAAAAAAAATTCCAACAACTAAAGTGCCATTATAATAAGGATGTTGTGTTCACTACTTTTGAATTTTTTGCTTTCTTTTTATGCAAATACATTATTATTATTGGTAATTTGTTATTTGTTTTGCAGCTGATCATCCATGCATCGATGATAATGGTGGTTGTTCTCATATTTGCATCGCCATGGGCGACGGCCAATCACGATGCTCATGTCCACTGGATCTGGTTCTACAGGAAGATGAGAGTACTTGTGGAGGTACGCAAAAAATGATTCTTTGAAATATATTTTAGTGGTCTTTACAGAATCAACTCTGAAAGCTTTGTAAGCATTGAGGGGATACTTGTGAACAGATTCCGTAGCTGACAATTTCCGATTAAATGATTGACATTGAATATTGAACATGCATTAAACTGTAAACATGGGGCCAATCTTTTTTTCAGAGTTTGTGTTTACATATTTGCCTTCATTTTTCTCTTTGACAGATCCACCAACTTGTTCCACCAAGGAGTTCACCTGTGTCTCTGACAGCAACCTGTGTGTCCCGTTGTCGTGGAGATGTGATTCTGATTTTGATTGTGATGATCACAGCGATGAAGAAGATTGTCGTAAGTTGAACGACGACCCGTCGTGTCATTCCTCAGTCAATATGTGAAATTTGAACTTTTGACCCATGACATTTGTCTCTCTTTGTGTCTGCTGATAAGCTTTGTCTGTGTTTTTAAAGGGCCATGTTATGTTTTTTTTTTTTTAATACAGGCCCTTGTAAATGCACCTTCGTGTCCCATTTATCCTTATTTTTGATTTTCATTTCACCATTTTAAATGGTATTTTGACACCTTTTTGGTGCACTTTGTCAAGGTCTTGGGCCAGACCTTGTGTTGTTTTTGCTCAGCCATGCATAAATATAGGCCTGGATTATGCTTGAAATCCTTCGTACTGCTCCAGGATGTCACTAGCCAAGCCTCAACATTGACAGTCACTGCCGCAGATTTTGCAGGATTCAGGCAGTGGTCACCCCTCCACAGACCTTAGTCAAGAAATATGGAGGCATTTGCAGGATTGAGGCTATATGTTATTTTTCCATGAGGCTAATTGGAGGTTTTGGGCTAATTGGAATTAAGGCTACATCCTAGCTTAACCCTAACAACCCTGAGCCCATCAAGCTCCAACAGCGGGTTTTGCTTGATTTTGGCAGGGTTGGTACCGAACACTGGCCAGCTGGTGTTGGACTTTGATTGACTGGGTACCAAAGACCCAGGGAGACCCTGTTGAATTATGTGAGGTTCGGGGCAGAAGGGCATGAGATTTGTGAACACGTTGGAGTTTGAGGGAGTTCACTGGCATTTCTTTGTGGGTATGCTCACCCATGGCCCTCGGCACAGTTTGTGGTCAAATGTGCATGTACATATTGCTTTATTTTGTTAGGTTTGGTACCATCCCTATCCAATCACTCGACAATGCGTAGGCCCATCCATACCAAGTCAATCAAACTCCAACAGTTGGAGTTTGGCAGGTTTAGTACTGTTCCCCGTACAAGGCCTGTTGGAGTTTGGCAGTTTTGGTACCAGTGCTTACAGACCTGTATGCAGCTGTTGAAATTTGTTAGGTTTGGTATACTTTCTAGTGCAAGAGCCTAGGGGGTTAGGGTTAAAGGCCTAGGGAGTTAGGTTTTAATGGATCAGTCTCTAATGCTTTATATTTGATCAATCTCTCAGCGTTTTGCAAACCCAACGAGTTCCGCTGCGACAATGGCCAATGCATTGATCTTGTCCTTCGCTGCAACTCCAAGAACGACTGCTCGGACGACTCCGATGAGCAGTACTGCACGGCGCCCTGCAAGGCCAATCAGTATGAGTGCTCCAATAAGCAGTGTGTGGATGTGGAGGAACCGGCTTGCGATGGAATCAGGCACTGCTATGATGGGAGCGACGAGAAGAATTGCGGTGAGTAGCTCACACTTAAGATATATACAGAGTCTGATACCAGTCATTGTGTATTTGGCCATATATCATGGACATGTATGACCTCTTGTGATGACTTGCGATGACTTGTGATGCTTTGTGATGACTTGTGATGCTTTGTGATGACTTGTGATGCTTTGTGATGAGTCGTGATGTTGTGAACGTCTTGTAAATACTTGTGAAAATGTGATTGACCTGTGATTCCCTTGTGAATGACTTGTGGTTGATTTGTGATGACTTGTGATTTACTTGTGATTCCTTATGGTGACATTTGATTCCTTGTGATCCCTTATGATCACATTGGATTCCTTGAGATTCCTTTCGATGACATGATTACGAATCTTACACTGCATTTTTCAGATGACAATCCCGACGATGTTCCAACAGTCAACAAACCCGCCGAGATGTCTGGCGCGGTCATTGGAAGCATCGTAGCCCTCATCTTTGTCATCTTCATCGTCATCGGTATCATCATCATCTTCCGTCACTGCCGGTGTGCCGCCCAACAAGGGGGCGGGGCCGGCCGAGGAGCAGCGGATAACGGTCAGTATTCTACTGTCTTGATGGTCAACCAGCTTGGAGGGAGAGATTCGTCTAGTAAATATCTCTCAGGTAAGTTAAGATCTTTGAGAATCCTTTTCCTTGTACTACGGTATGTGCAGTAGCTCGGCGCTACCTTCTTCATTTGCATCAGGTAGTCGGCATGGTATCGTCCTTTAGAGAACCGCTTGAAGTGGTCCTTTTCTTCTTCCACGTCCTTGTTTCTCGCGTTCTGCACTTGATACCACGTCCTTATTGGTTTGCGATTCATTGCTCTTTCACATTGTGGTGTCAACAATTATCCAGTTTCCCCTGAGACAATAAGCTGTATTGACAGACAACCCCTCTTTTGTTTATCACTGATCACTATATACACACACAGGATAACGCATCAAGATCACAGGCAGAAATTGCATGGCACCATCTTGCGAGGCCTAAAATATACTCAAATGTGTGTGGCAGTATTGATTGCATGACCCACTGTGTACACTGCAAGCATGTAGCACCAGCCATTGGAGACCTTTAAAGTGAATGGCTGGCGGCTTTAGTTTATCGTGCATTGTGATGGTCAAATGCACTGCACTATTCATTCTCTGTAGAGTGATAAGGGACGTGTAGCTCGTTAATGACTAACCTGAGGAAAAACTCTGCATAAGCTTTCATAAAAACATTTTCATCAGAAGCAAAAACAATTTCATCAGAGGCAATAATGAACTCTATTGACTTTTGTTTTTCTTTTTCGGCATAACAGGCTCAGCGCGCGGCAGCAACCCGAAGTCCACAAACCTGCACAGCTGTGCCAACGGCAAGAGTGGCAGCAGCAGCAGCTGCGGCGGTCTCTTTGAGCGCGCTCACCCGACCGGCGCGTCGTCCTGCAGCTCTGAGATGATGAGCGTCTCGGGAAACAGCAACTACCCCAAGGAGACCCTGAACCCTCCGCCGAGTCCCGTCACGGATCGGTCACAGTGCATGGCGGATCTGTACTATCCACCCCAGAATCCTACCACGAGTAGATCATATAGGTAAGTATTAGGTGTTCCGGTGACATTGGTCTCAATTTCAGGTGTCTAACTTGTGGGGAATTCTACAGATTGTTTTTGGAAAAAGTTGGAATGCTTCATAAGGAGACTCTAAATCACAGTTTAAAGTGATCTTGACTATCCACCTCGGAATCCTACCACTGGTAGATCCTAGTGGGAATATCATCGAAGTTGGTTTAGGATTGTTCAAATCCATCATAATTATTTTACAAATCAGGACACAAGTATTAAATCAAGACTATTTACAAGTCGGTTCATAAGTAACAGGAAATGGAACAACAACACAGCTTATCTGAAGAGCTTGTGAATTGACGAGACTGGACGATTTACGATGGACACAACTACATCACCGATGCAGACACAAAAATTCCCTAACAGTTTGATTTGCACGAGCGACTTATGAGCAACACAAATACACACACACAAAAGCTACTTTTTCGTATAGCAGTGATAATTCTTTTGCGAGTTTACTTACTAGTACGTTTCTCATTTACAGACATTACAAGATGCGCAACATCCCACCCCCACCGACGCCCTGCAGCACCGACTTCTGTGAGGACAGTGAACCTTACGTCAAGACGCCTCACCACCAAAAGCACCACGCCGCCCGAAGGAAGCGTGGCAACAAGTATTACACCAATGTGACAAACTTTGATGTGGCGTACGATCCGGAGCCCCACCCGCCTCCGCCGACGCCAATCATGTCGGACAATAACTACGAGAGTTGCCCGCCATCGCCCTCCACGGAGAGGAGCTTCTTCAACCCATACCCACCACCCCCCTCACCCGCCACAGACTCAACGTGATGGAATCGGTGGGAGAGAATTGATCAACTCGTTATCAGTATCTATCAGGGTTTGCGTTCAGATGGATTGAAAGCGTGGACAACGCCTTTGCTTAGTCACTGCTCCATGTTCGGCATTCTGTGGTCAGGTTGCTTGGCACCCTCCGTCATCCCTCAGAGGAATTGCTGCGCCAGTTATAAACCAGTACTCCTCTTCATCCACAACCAACTGAGCCATGCCGTGCTTAAAAGCCTCTGTTGTAGTCATCTTAGGCCAAAAAAAAAATAAGTCGGTCTCTGGTCAGCGCGCGCGTCGATTTTAATCATGCGCGTCGATCTTTTTTTTCCCAAAATGTTCTGCGGTAGCTCCAACAGCGCCCTCTATTTCCACACCTCAATTTTTTTTTAACCAAAGAGCACCAAGGAATGAGAAATTGCACCAAGGCAAGTGATCGATAGCACCAAGGCAAATTATGGAGGACACCAATGTACATGAGGACACCAAAAAAACAAAATAGTACCTACCTTGTATGTACAATCCAAGCTTTAAGAAAAAAAAAAAAAAGCAAAAAAAAAAAAAAAAAGCCGCGTGGCCGCGTCAATTCCGGAACTGTGGTCTGACCAGAGACCGAATATATATTTTTTTTGGCCTTATTTGTAGTCATCTTATTTCTACTCCATGTCTGTTACAGTTTTGTTCCGGTGATTAATACTCATTGAAATAGTACCAGATGTCCCTGAAGTACCGGGCTCTGAAGTACTTTGCCCTTAAATGTTAACGGATGAGATTGATACACGAATACCTCGCTCACTGAAAGTCCTTTTCCCCCTTGTCGATATTTGAGCTTTAACCAAAGTCTAGGGCTGTGCATTTAATAATTTCAAGACTGCTCACTTTTTACGGATATTCGGTTGATGATCATATTATGTGATGCGATCAAGCTAAATGAGTCGTTTGTCGGGAATTTTCATTGGAAGATTCAGGCCAAAATAGGGCCACTTCATCACATCACTTCATCGCATTTCTTGGTGTTCCGACTTCCATAATTGTTGAACTAAAGATGTTACCAACATGCAGTTTTCACAGCAGTAATGCTGAGATTGTGTTCTATTCAAATCTGTAAAAAAAAAAAAAAAAAATGACCAGGGTGAACAAACGACTCATTTAGCTTGATCGAATCACAAATTTGGTATATTGATTTGGCACAGCCACACCAAAGTTTGTAACTAAGGATACATTAGACAATCAGGATTTACGTCCCTGGCACATTTTTACCACTTTTTACTTTGCGTGTACATAGAACTCCTTCTGTTTTTATTTCATTTGTAGTATTTATACCTCAGCAAAATATATATTTTTATTACTTTTCTTTTTGATTTTTTTTTTTTAATGCAAAGGGGGCTCCATGTTAGTTAGTCCTGCACCTATAATCAGTAAAATGTACAAAATGACCTTTGACCCATTTTTTTTTCTTCTTCAAATTTGACCTCAATGAATCACCTTCAACCTGGATCGTCCACTATTGACTTAACGTGCGGGTATGTAGAGGCGGAAGTATTTTATCACATAGTGTATTATAATGTAAATATATTTTAAACAGAGTTTAAAAATATTGAATATATTTAAATGTTAACGTGTAAACTTGTTTTTTTTTTTAAATGCAAAACAAAGACATCATTAACCCAGTGGGGTGCATACATTTACATGTATACCAATCTGACCAAATTCACAGTAACTACATTTTTTTTTTTTGTAGCCCACCGAAATGGAATTTGTTTAAAAATTGCCATTCCAAGACCTAAATATTGATTTATGTGATTATGGGCATTACAGTGCGGTTTGTGTAATTCTTGCAATTCAATCAAATTATTATTATTTTTTTTTTATTATTTTTTTGCTTTTATAACCTTTGGCTACGAGCAAGAGTTCGTGTTTACCCGTTGTTTTAAACCCCACAAACCTCATTTACTTGATGCAAATTGTAAAATCGATGATCGCAATTTTACAGACAAACATATTTAAATTTTTTGAACAAGCTTTTAACAACGCCAGAATCAGTTAATTTTAAAATGACGTTATGAGTAAGCAAACAAACTTCCAATACATTTTGATGTACAACTTCTTTTTTTTTTTTAGGGATTACCGTTTGATCTTGTTTTGCAAGATATACATGTATTTTCTTTTGATCACCTCATTTAATGTAAAAGAAAAAAATCCTGCCAAATCATGTACATATTATCAGTGCTGCAAATTCAAGCATTGGATTTTCACTGTATTCCAAGGGTTGAAAGTTGAGGTACGTAAAGTGACAGCCATAGCTTCCAACCGTTATGATGAATTGGCAACAATTATAAATGAACAAATTTAAAGGGAATATACATCATTTGCTTTTGCTGTAATTTTCAGAAATGGATGGAATTGGGGGATTGGAAATATATAGCAAATATAGTTACACTGACTTTTTTGAGGTTTTGGGTTCGAAAATGCTATAAAAACCAAGAAAAACAATCATTTTCCTGCAGTCTGGTTTCCCTGACTCCATTTAAGAAGAAACAGAGCAATTTTCATACATTGGGGAATTGTAAGGTCAGGGAACCAGTCTGGCTTGCCAGCTGGCTTGTACCCGTTCATAGGTGTGTAATCGATTGCAAACAAGTGCGATTGGTCAACTGGGGCCAGTATTTGAAAAAAAAGCCAGTTTTTTTCCAACGCTGATCAGCCGATCAGCGTTGGAAATTGATACAAAAATACCACTTTTCTTGAAAAACACAGTATACCACGTGCCATGATTTTACGGGATGCTTTACACTGTCATTCACTAACAGTCCAGCAAGGTATTTCAAAATGATTTGGTACTTTTATTTTTTGATGTTTGCAAATGTTGTATTTTCCTTTTAATAGAAATTAACTGCCAGAATGTATGCATTTAAATTTGACCTTAAAAATACAGTTGGATACGATACTAGGATTAATACAATGTGATTGTGCTGCTTTTGCTGGTCGTAAAGGGCTATTCTAGTGTCTGTGTTCCCATAAGGCCAAAAAAAAAATAAGTCGGTCTTTGGTCAGCGCGCGCGTCGATTTTAATCATGCGCGTCAACCTTTTTTCTTTTCTTTTTTCAAATTGTCCGCGGTAGCTATAGCAGCGCCCTCTATTGCCGCACCTCCTCAAAGTCTTTAACCAAGGAATGGGGAAATTGTACCAAGGCAAATGATGGAGGGCACCAAGGCAAATTATGGAGGTCCCCAATGTATATGAGGACACAACAAAAGCAAAATAGTACCCACCTTGTCTGTACAATCCAAGCTTCAAAAAAAAAAAAGGCATCAATTCCGGAACTGTGGTCTGACCAGAGACCGAATATTTTTTTTTTTTGGCCTTACACTGACCAACTCACTGACTGACTCACTGATTGTCACTTCTGAGCCAAGCAGTGCTATCGTATAGGATTCACACTGTAATTCCAGTGAATGGTCCAGCCCAATAGTGTAGACCAAATGCATGTATGTAAAGACCCCTATGTGTATGGAAGTGTTGATGTTGGCGTTCCTAATTATAGTTTCACCGCGTGGTGGTATTACAAATTGAAATTTCCAATTGTTGGCAACCATGGGAATATGCCTTTTAATTCCTGCGTGGTGCTCGATCATGTCAAAGAATTCCGACAGATTCCTACCAAAATATCTCTACGGTTAATCATGGAAGCCTTACCGATTCATGCATCATTAATTTATGTCTCTCTTGGGAAAAAAAGAAAACAATGTTTTTTATCTAGAAATGTCCATGATGGTTTTGTACTTCTAATATTTATTTGATGAGATTTCAACATTCAGTACGTCCTATTCTGATGCTTTTTTGCAAAAAGTATCGTAAGTTATGTGGGCCCTACATTTATTGTATTGAATAGTGAGGATCCCATATTCACATCAAAATATGCATGGTACATGTACTATTGTATCATAGTATTATGGTATTTCAGTAGTTACGGTACCGGTACATGTACTATGAAAACACAGTACTTTTGCTCCCTAGGTGCATTTTATTTATTATTTTTTTAAAAATGCATATGTATTCGGATAAAGAGAAGTGCTGATTATTATTATTTATCCACGCCAAACATAATGTACATCACAGTCAAGTAGGCATTGGGACAACAAAAGTAATGCTAATCACTGCGATCAAGGACGTGTTGCTCAGCATCCTGATCTGAGCATTAATATTAAACATTGCACAACATTTTCTCTGATGCAGGTACTATGCACTGAATAATTATTAAATTGAGCAGTATTGCTTAAATATCTCTGAACTGTTATCACATTACTATAGGTTCAAGGGGCACTGGTGTTCTACTTAAAAGTAATTGTATTATGACAGCGTTACAGTTGACTAGACTTTGTGTTGCATGATGCTACGCATATATCTATCTAAACCAGTTTGGTATACATTGAAGGTGAAAAAAAAAACTCGTCACAGTACTTAATTTCGTATTCTGCAGTACTGTATTTGATTGAGGGCATACATTATATACTACAGCCACGGTGTATATTGAACACTCTGAACCATTGGCATAACACACATTTCTCAGACTTAAGTTATAAAACAAATGATTGACTTTGAAGCAACAATTAATGAGGTTGTTATCGCTTGACCCAACTAATCTAAACATGTAACCAGCTTAGTTCGTCAGAATCCATGCTATTCAAGTGGATCTGATCATGTGGGTCCGTTATATACCAAGTTATGTATTCATAAGTATTCTTAGAAATGTTACGTACTTAAAAAAACTCTTAGAAGGTATGTTTATTAATGTTATCATTTTGTTACTGATTTTGTCATTTGCTATTATACTGCTGCCATGCATATATTATTTTATGCTTGTCTGTTGACATCCAACCATGTACGATAAGTGTAACATACTCCGTATGTAAACTATTAAAACAATTTGCGATTAAACAATTTATACATTTTGTACAAATGTGGAACGGAGAAGATTCGCGTGTATTGGTCATTGTTAAGAAACTTTTGTGTGTTTGTTGTTTCCTTGTAGTCCCAGCCTAGTGTCCTCTTTGTACCTGTCTTACTGACTGACTCCCCGACTGACAGACTGACATCCCGACCCCCCCCCCCCCCCCTTGTTGGTCGTTAGTACCATTGTATATGATTACCCCTTGTTGGGTAGCATATAGAATAATCCCAGTGTATGGGTTAAATCTTGTCCATTGTGTGTACAAAGATGCATTCATAAATACTTTAGACATCACCCATTCCTATTGGTAGAGAGCCAATCAAGGCTATCGCGGAAAAAAAGTCGAGGGGGGATTCCGCCCCGGCCCTTTAATAGGGTTAAAAGATATTTGTATGGTTGTTTATATCCTACTTTTAAATGTTCTTTCCGATTAACGTCATCTCGTTCAAAGCGCGTTTTGTAGCCCAATTGGGCTGTTCCAGGACCCAGTGTCCCTTTATTGGTATACCCCACCTGCAAAGTAACAGAAGGGGATATTGTCTGTAAAGTTATAATGCTTCTTTCATAGTGGGACATAAAAACAATAATAAATAAATTTAAAAAAAAGCAGCTCCTGTTCGTGACATTGACGTGTATCTATATTAGGCCGATTGAGATACACGGGTTGATTGTCACGGACCAAGGGCGGATCCGGGGGGGGGGGCCAAAGGGGGTCCATGCCCCCCCCCCCCCCCCCCCAAAAAAAAGGAGACCAATTTTTTTTTTTTTTTTTATCTGACATCGCAATAAAGGCAGGCAATGAGTACACCATAATCTTTTCCTCAAAAAAACATTGGTTAAAGTGGTCAGAAATTGCCTCAGATCGCACCACAGAGCATCTAGAATCCAAAAAAAATTCGGGGCCCTTAAGCGGGCCAGGAACCCCACGCCGTAATTTTTTGGACCCACTTTTTTGGGGGTCCAAAAAAAATTTTGGCCCCCCAAAAAATTGTGTTCTGGATCTGCCCTTGTCACGGACCGGTGCTTCTTATTTTTTTCGTCACACTCTAAAAGAAGCACTGTTGCAAGACCGCCCACACAGTCTATCTGGCTGTGTGCACTGTGTAAAACTGTTGCCAAAGGATGTTTACGGTACGACATGCAATGCTTATCACAACCGCGTTCATACTATAATTTTCAAGTTTGCGCCATCTTGCATTTTTCCCGAGAAAGTTGTTTAACGATTGTCGGTTGCGCGTTACAATGGCGCTGCATCGAAGAAAGGGAGCCCGACGTGCGGACGAGACGACCGACGGCGGTCTTGCAAGCTGGCTGGTTGTTGTCAACACACTCATTTCTCTGGCGGTCTGGGGCGGTGTTAACAAAAGCTACGGGGTGATGTTCTTTGCCATCAGAGACGACTTTAGCACAAGCACGTGGATCATGGGATGGGTTGTGGCTGTCATGAGTTTTAGTGTTGATATGTTTTGTAAGTATATAGACCATAATGCAATCACGTAATCATAGTGTTGCAATAAAACCAGACCCTACAAAGACTGCATTACAGGAATGATTAGGTTCGACAGACGATTATGCTAAATGTTTTTTTCGACCAAAAATAAGACTTTTACAGTCTGACGAAATGAAATGTTTCCTACATGTTCTTATTTCCCTCGGACTTCAACCTTGGGAAATACGACTTTCTTATGGTAACTCAAAGTTTCTTGGGTTGCATTGACATGCACTATTCACCTCATCACCAGTCTATAATGTGTAATAGTTTGATAAATATATCATTCCGTGTAATGTGCACTTTTCATGGGTTTGGATCATAAGTGCATGTACACACGCAAATGGAACTGATTCGTACGCATGATCAACGAGGGCAATGTCGTGAGCATTACTGAATCCTCGCATTGCAATCGGCACATGTCTAATACAGTTCATTGTGATGTAACGAGGCTAAACTTTGTCATTCAATTGAATGTTTTCATCTTTCTTCTTCATTTTTGTTTGCTTTGTTCCGGGTATTACTCGTAATATCCACAGCTCCTATCGTCAACCTTTTGGAGAGGAAATTCGGAACTCGACAACTGTTGGTTGTTGGTAGTTTAATGCTGAGCGTGGGCGTGATTATGGCATCACTGACTACACATCCATCTCAGATGGCGCTGTTGTCTGTCTTGGTAGTAGGTGAGTTTCAATTAGCCGTTGGCTTCATTCAAATAGCTGAACTATTCTGGAAAGATGTGCATTAGGCGTTGTTTCAATCTACACTGTGCACATTATGAGTTATCTCTTCAAATACTTATGATAAGTTGTTGAGAAGTTGGCTTTGTGAACGAAGCTTGATAAATTCATAGTAGGAACATTCAAAAGTTCAAAATGTTGTAGGTAATAATAAAACAAATGGGTACATATTGCGGATAACATTATAGCCAACGGCCGATCTTATTCTGTCTTACTTGGCCCGCATATAGGACAGCAATGTTGCCCTATATCCATAGTAATGCCTAAAATCTTTGGATAATTTGTGAACTATACGATCTCGCCATTTCAGGAACCAAGGTTCATATGAATTTACGTGAATTTTGATAATGTTATGCTATTGTGATATCAATTTTAAAACTAATATCTGTTTACTTTGTTTTAGACTTTTGAAATAAAGCTAGATGTAGTTGTTATTATACTTGGTCGACAGGGTATGTCAACTTGAGTACAACTTTATTGTGCCTGCGCCCACACAGTATTCGGTATTGCATTTACGTGTATGTTGATGTCATTTATACACTAATATTATATCGATTTGCAATCTTTGAAAATTATTGCACCTGTTTCAGGATATTCTTTCAGACTATAGTAATAACATAAATGTATTCCTATCATGATTTTGTTTTAAAGGGCCTGGGTTGGCCTGCTCTACCGTGGTATCCAGAGCATTGCTTGGTCGATGTTGGACCAGACGTTACTCTCTTGCATGTGCAATCGCCTACAATGGCATTCCGTTGAGCCTGCTCTTCTTTGGACCTGTGTCTCAGGCTCTTCTTGATGTGTACGGTTGGCGAGGGGCAATTATGATCATTGGAGCGATCACTGTGCATTTGGTGCTGATAAGCACTGCCTTAAAACTTCCACCTATCCAAGAATACGCCAGATTGCCGGGTAACAATTGCACCATCAAACAAACAACTTGTCAAAAATCAAAGTCGACACGAGCTGGAGCGACAGAACTGACGAGCCTCCGGCTTGACGACGCTGACAAAAATGAGCCTAGTTGTCTGCGTGGTGTCATTCGTGGTTTGGATCTGTCCCTGTTGGTGGAAGCTGATTTCCTCTGCTTGAGTTGGATGTCCTTCTGCGTGCGATTCGACTTAGAGGCCTGGATGATCTACTATGTCTCGCACGCTGGGGCCAAAGGCATCGCTATCAATGTGGCAGCTAACCTATGCATTGTGGCCGGAGTGTTTGCTATCCTGATCAAATTGATGGCTGGTGAGGTGGTCGACAGAGGTTTGGTCAGTAACGTCACTGCTATCTTCGCTACCCTAGCAGTGCATGCTGTGAGCTTCCTGGTAGATCCGTGGCTGATGTCTTCTCTACCGCTGGCAGTATCAACATCAAGCCTGATCGCTAGTGGTAGCTTAATGTACGCGCTGGTGGATCGCCAAGTGAGAGATGTATACGGAGCGGAGCGCATGGCAAGCTGTTTTGGCTTGATGAGCTTCCTGACTAGTCCTGCAAAGTTGCTGGGAGGATTTATGCCCGGTATGTAGATGGGATCTTATATCAAGATTGAATGAGTCAGCCGTGTGCATTCTACAAAACAGATACCCTATGGAACACAATGTGAAACACCCTTAATGCAATACCCCATAGAAAACTCTATTTGTTTCACCGAATGCAAAACCATCTGCAATACTTTATACAACAACAAAATACAAAAACCTTTAAAATAAAACCTTCGACGTTCCCATGCAATACCATTTGCAACACCCCATGTAACATTGTTTACATCAACAAATGCAATATCCCACGCATTATCCTCTGTAAAACCCAGTCAACACTATCCACAGAGCCATGTGCAACACACTGCACCCCCCCCCCCCCCCCCGTGCAACAACCGATGCAAAACCCTGCGCAACATCCCTTGCATCAGTCTATGCAGAACAGCCCATGCAGTACTCAATGCAACACCCTATACAACATTCTAACTGATACCCTATAAGCAATACCAAATACCATAACCGATGCAACACGCTAAGCACAACCCAATACAGCACCCCATTCAATATTCTATGGAACACCATGTTCAATACCCCCGTGCAAGACCCTGTACAGCACACTGGTTGTAGACGGTCGAAGTTATTTCGAATCTCGAAACAAGTTAAAGCATTACCCACCGCCTGCTCTGTTAAAAAAAAATAATATTTCAGATTATTGATTTGATATTTGTTGTATAGGTTGGATATACGACGCTACGGGAAGTTACGACAACGCTTTCATCATTCTCGGTTTGACTGGGTTGGCGGCTGCTGTTCCTTTGGCGATTAAGATTCACTACCATAAAGTGACGAGATAATCGTAGCAAGAACTTCGCCATGTATGATTTAAGTCCGATAGTTTTATTTTCCAGAGTAAGTTGTTCGGTGTTGTTTTAGTGTCATCAATATATTTTAAGGGGTGTATTGAATATTTTTGCAAGTGGCAAGTTGCCCCCTCCCCAGACTGGATATGCGCCACTTAAATGAAAATAGTTTGACCCACAATCCGACCAAACTCACTGGGCCCCCACCTCCCTGCTCCTGGCCAGTGATGTCCCTCATTGCGCGGTCTGCGGTCTGCGCTCAAGCGCGAGATGACAACGTTGACCAGGGAGCGTGAAAACCAGGGGAGGCTATGCTCATTCACCAAATGCAAAACCATGTGAAATACTTTATGCAACAAGAAATACAAAAACCGCCATAAAAAGCGGGCGTGCTTAATGTGACGTGTCCTAACCATTTTGGCCGGGATTCTAGACGGACCGGTGGCTTAATGATTACGAAATTCATTGGGCAGGCCTATAGTAAAGGGCATTAGGACTTAAGCGCATAAAGACTTCATGGTGATATTCGCTATAAGAATGGTTTTAATAATAATAATTATTATTAGAGCTGGTCCCAGAGCGCATGATATTCAAAATGGCTGTTTACTGAAAGTCCGCGATATGCTGGATTAAGTAATTCGTTAGTTTCAAGGGATACTTTTCTAGACTAATCTGGGCACTCTATTGATTCTATCACAAAGGCCCCATTCAATGGCGAAAGCATCGTGCTCGCTATAGTTCAGAAAATTGGCCCCGGGGGCAGTTCCTTTGTATCAATAGCGTGCACATTGGGTTCTCCCTTGAAGTGGGCCTCCTGCATGTACAGGGTAAGTAACAAAACAAAAACAAAAAACAGCCAAAAAAAAAAAAAAAAACGAAACCAAAATTTCGGGACCATTTTTTTAGTGAAGTTCTGCATATAGCACTTTTAAAATCTAGGATATGAAAGCCCAACTCAGAAGCTTTCTTTTAGTACAAGACTCGTTTAAATCACTCACGTCATTTTCAAGTTGCAGAATTTTAACTTAACACAACAATAATTTTAAAGTTCTGTCCACAGATCACAAAAAGGTAATTGTTAATTATTTCAGAAAAATGAAAACAAAAATCATATAGGGATGTGTGTGAATTGTTTTCGTTTTGCTAAAAGAACGCACACCTGTTTTTGTGATCCGTGGACAGAACTTTAAAGCGGTGGTTGTGTTTAAAATTCCGTAACTTGAAAATTGCATAAGTGATTTGAATGATTCTTGTACTACTACTAAAAGAACGTTGATGAATTGGGCTTTCATATCCTAGGTGTTCAAAGTGCTACATGCAGAACTTCACTAAAACAATGGTCCCGACATTTGAGTTTCGTTTCTTATCTTACTCGCCCTGTATTGCGTGCTCGGATGGCAATGAAGCCGAAGGCCGTAGGGCTTTCTTATGTTGCGAGGAATAAACGAATAAAATGTCCTCAATTCACAAATGCCTTTGCACTGACAGCCTCGTTTTTAGTGCTAATTTTGGGACTCGTCTTTGTGATTGCGCGGCTCGCAAGTGACAGTCATTCGGTCGGCCGGTCGGTCAGTGGGGCCAGCAAATCTGCTATTTCATAACTGCAAGAGTTGGTGGTGTGTTAATAATCCTTCCTCCCTTCCAAATTCCAAATTGTTTTTTTCTAAAAAGGGTACAGACTCAATGACGGCTTTCAGACTTCATGGAGAGAAAAAAAACACCAAAGGACAAACTGACAAACTCTTCAGACAAGCTGATGTTCTGTTTTAAGCGACTGTGTTTATATTTTGCAGCTATTTTGTGTAGCTTCACATGCAGTAACTTATTCAAGCTTGACATTTAAAACATTGTACTAACTAAGAATAGGATACTGGTGATTCAGACTTTTTACCTATTGCAACATAAGAACATAACGTTAAAGCAAAGTCTCTAATTATGTATTCATTGTTATGCTCTATAAAATACATTTCAATCAAATTATTGTGCTTGATATATATTTTTTTAAGTATATACACGAAGATATATTATAAAGACGAAGGACCTGTTGAACAAAATCATGTTTCCTTGTGAATCATATAATTGACCTTATCAGGACCCAGTCAAGTAATTTGTATCTCTCCACAACCTTCGTAATAGCTCTGCAACGCTTCGGCAGATGGGCGAGAAATTTGCTGAACTAAGCTAAATTTTATCATGGTCAATCTGGTATGAAAATCAACGGGCAAAAACCTAACTGTTCGACAGGGCAACTGATAGAAAAAAAGTTATCATGAATGAACTTCTTTTTGTACATTATTTTGAGATTGTCTTTATTTGAAATTTTATTTGAGGTCAAAAACAGGGATTCTGTGCCCGAACTTATTAAGTGTTCATTTCAAACTAGAAATAGTGGTCACGTGAACAACAACAATGCACGCCGGTAAAATTATTACAAATCATGGTAGTGCGCTCTAACAGAGAGTTTGGTGGCCGAAAGCTGTTTAAATTGATGACTCAAATAATTATTATTAAAAATAAGGAAAGAATTTTAAAACAATGTTGTTAACCAAAAAAGTGGCAACAATTTAGTAAGTAACCCTCCTGTGTTGGCCTTGAGTACTAGAATGACGTCATAAAGTGCACAGGCCTAACAATATTCCTATCAGATTTTATGAATATGGGCCAAGCCATGTGAACATTGGGATGGGTTTTTTTTCCTGAGAAGGACGCAAAATTAATCATTGGATCCTGATAGGTTAAAAACGAAAGCCCTTTTGTATTACACGGTAGATAATAAACATGCAACTCCCACTCTTCTTACTTAAGAAAATGATACAGGCAATTAAGCACTTACTTATTACAACATACCATGAATATTGTATATTTGTGGAATGATTCAAAGTACCCTTTTTACTCTTCTCCATCGGAAAGGATTTCATCGCCAGTGAAGAATATTTAAATATGTACATCCGTATACAATTTTGCACGACTTATCATTAACTAGAAATAACAGCGAAATTGGTTTCTGTACAATTATCAGAAGCTCATTAGTCATTAAACATTTTACTTTCCTCATTTCCTCGTAAGGGTCTACAATTCAGTCACAATTTTGCGCCATTATATTTACAAAGCTTTAAATTGTTACAAAGCTTTAAATTGTTGAATACATACGTAAACTGTATCTTCAGATTGAAAAGCATTATGCAACCAACTGGTTTGTTTTGTTTAGGCATGCGTTTCTTACAGTAACACACATTGTAAAAGAACGTTAGTGCGAATTGTTGTGTACTATTATTTATGCCTCTCGTGGTGCGCCATACCACACGGAGTGTCAGCGGTCAACGGCTGCTAACACAACAGCACTAATACCAGCCGCACTATTATAGAGTTTTGTGTTGTGCCATGCTGCAATCACGTTTTTAGTTCATAGTTTTTTTACAACGTGCAACAATAACTGTTTCTTCATCGCTTCTTGTTACCATGTTATTCAGAAGGATCTTTGTTCCTGCCACAGAGCAATGAACATTATGCAGTTATTTCACATCCTATTTGGAGAGGTATTTCACGCAGTAGTTACCGTTTTACCACTTCAAAATCGCTTCGTTGTTGTGTTTTCGTCGTCGTCCTTCGTCGACGCGTCGTCGGCATTTTAGTTACTTCGTCTTCGCATTTGCAACGTTGTCAACATTGTATAACCAACGAACTTAGCCTACTTGTAGGTCAGTTGCTGTCCTAATATTCGTTACAATTATGTTATGCTCTATGACAATAATTCCTCAGATTATTCTGAAGAAAATAAAATGTGTACTAGATTTTACGATAAAAGCAATGAGCATTGAAACGAAATTATTTTGTTTTCCTCGAATGTTTCCAATTAAACGAACAAATTATACGTACATCCCTTGTGTCATTTCACGTGTTTCATGATGAATTTATCATGATCCATTTTTTTTATTTGGATGCATGATGTGATTAGAAGCACAGTGGTTTGATATCTTAGAGACAATCTTCAGTATACACATCATTTACGCCATCTTTTCTGGCATTTGTACATGCCTGTCGAGATTCGTCACCGACCTTTTCGCACTGCACGTCTTTAAGTGCAGTGGTCATAGAACAGACCAATTGGGTTACAAAACGCGCTTTGAATGAAATGATATTAATCGGAAAGAACATTTAAAAGTAGGGAATAAACATCCACACAACTATCCTTTCAAAACTGGGCGTTTTTGTTTTATTCCTGTTTTATGCGTGCGTGAACGAATTTTGGGGTCCACTTTTGCGACCCCAATAAGTCGAGCTGTTTTGATGCTAGTTGTGATTTCATCCGTCAAGTGTTCGCATTTTGCGGACGTGTAAGAAACCATATTTGTTTGCGTTGGTGATTGGTCACCGCGCGCTGTTCGCGAGCATGGTGCTGCGTATATAGGCCTACATATCGTGCGTACATCGATTAAGTGATACGATCATTTACAAACACTTCACAACAACCTACATGTACCTTTTTTTCTAACAGGAAGCCAGACGGAATAATTTTATGAATTATTTAGTACAAAAAACGATATGCAAATCGAATACGCTTTTTCATAATACTTCGCTATAGGCTACTTAAATGATAATGCAGTCTGTTCTTCTTAATCTTTATATTGCCATTTTCATCTGTGTTTTGGTGGCTTTAGGTGGCGATTTTCTTTTATTCATGAGATAAGCAAAAAGTAGAAACTGAAGTATTACAGCTCGTTTAGCATCAACAATTCCTAGATTTTGGAATATTTGCAGTGGTTGGTCTGAACAAGATTTATTAGGAGAGTTTTTTGTTTGTTCACAATTTGAAGTGTTCGACATGTTCACACAACGTGCAACGGTTCAAACAGGAAACGGGGAAGTGTCAGTCGTGAAATGGCTAAACCCCCTCCTGTCCACGCAACAATGTTTATTATTTCCTAAAGCCCAGTGAATACCGTTTTCTCTCAATATAACAAATCTTGATTCATCGCTTTTTTTTTTTGTTAAGCTTTGACGGAAACGCTCCATCTACATTCCCTTTCCCACATGAATGATTTTTGGATTCCAACTCCCATCCTTTTTGAAAACCATAAATCCACCTCTGTGAGGTCACAAAACTGCAATGTAAAATTTAATTTATGGTGGTTAACTGTCAATATTCGTTATCATGCTTTATCAATCAGTGGTGTGAGAGGAAAAAAGAAGAGTTGTCACTGTGCAGGGGTAGAGCCCTAGGCCTCTTGAAACCTGTATAAGAAGGTTTTTGTTTCCATTTTGACTTGTCTACATTTTACTCTGT